GGGTCGCAGGTAAGCTGAGCTCCTTGGCCGACCCCTGTACATACCAGTATGTCAAGCTCTGCATGTTGTTTAGCGGTTGGTTTACCTGCCACCTTGGCGCCATGTGCCCTACACCAGTGGGGTGTACGGCAGTGGGGTGCGGTGTACGGCAATGGGGGGCGGTGTACGGCAGTGAGTAGTAGTAGTGGTAGCAGTGGTGGCGGCCGACGGCCGGTTGTGTGTAATTGCAACACCAGTGCTATAACGCGGTGTATTTTGTGTACGGGAGTCTGACTAATGGCGGCGCTGGATCCTTGTTCCATATACTCGGTAGTGCTCGTATGCATGTAGGGAACATGCAATGCGTGCATGTGTCCTGAGCTCCGCGCCCTCGCTCCACCCACAAGGTAGGGGCGCTAGCTGGCACTCAGGCCGCGGAGGGGGCGGCAACCGTCGGAAGCGCTGGGCGGCAGCACTCGCGTATGGCAATCCGAACTAAGCGTGCGGCTCTCTTAAATAAACGTAGGGCCATCCTAAGTAACCTCCAAAGCCGTCTCCGCCAGCCATTTTCCTTGTCACTGTGTACCGCATGCAGGGTGGGTGACAGTGCCAAGAAAGGAACAGGATCCAGCGCCGGAACATACATTTGTACCGCCGAGAGGAAGCGCCGCTTCCGCCTAGATACCGGTACTTCAGAATTCATAGACGCCTGTGAGTTAACGCCTTTTGGAAGGCTTTGCTCAGCCTGCTCGCTCCACATGCCGGTCTATGCGTGTTCCTAGCTCCCCTGCCTCACCCCGCCGCAGGCAAGCAGGCAGGCAGACATGCGGCGGGTAGGCGGTTGGGGAGCACACACGCACGCATGCTCCCATCTTGCAAGGATGTTGCGCTGCCGTCGATACACCGAAGGCCATTGCAAGAGCAACGCGCACGCCCCACCATCCGCTCCTCCTTAACGCTTTTCATGCGACAGATAAGGGCACCTCACCACGTTCCTCCTCCCGACAAAGCACTAATACAACTACCTACCGACCTACCGATCTACCAGCATGCATGCACGCATGCTGTAACCGCACACCCACAGCACTACATCTCCCGATCCGACAGACAGCTACTGCTTGGCACCCGCTCCTGACCCCGACCCACTTGCCTGCATTCCCCTCCCTGCATTCCTCCTCCCTGCACACCGGTATTGCTCGCATACATGCCCGCCTGCAGTGCCTCGCCCGCCCCCTCCCGCAACCCGCAATAACCCGCTAGCGCGCCCCTCGTTGAGCAGGGTGGACCTCCGTGCCCCGTCGCTGCCCTCCCCAGCCCAGGGAGCCCCTCACCAGCCTAGCAGCCATGCTAGACAGCCCCTACTGCCGCCTGGTGCCTGGTGCCATGGGTGAACCATGGGTGAGCCACCTGCCTGTTCCGGGCCCCATAGCACGTGCACCGCAGGTCTCAGCCCCGGGGTAGGACCCAGCAAGCGGTTGTCACAGAGGCATTAGCACAGTCCCCTCTTCTCCACAATGTTTCGCGTTGGTGCTGCAAGCTGAATCACCTTGACATGCCCCGCAGGTACCTTCTTGCAGGCTCCCTGCCGCCCCCCTCCCCCCTGCTGCGGGACCTGGCTGGCTCGCTGGCGCTCTGCCTGGAGTGGCTGCTGCGGCGGGGCGGGCAGGACGCAGCGGGATCGGAGGCGGAGGTGGTGATGAAGCAACCTCGTCGGAAGGCACCGGCGAGGGACCGCGAGCCCAGCTGCGTACGGCGCTTTCCGGGCGCTGTGTACGGCATGCAGTGCTCGTGTACGGAGTTGCCTGCCTGCACGCGGCGGACGGCGGCCCGACGTATGGGCTGCCGCTGGAAGTGCTGCGGCGGGTGCCCGTGGAGGTTGAGACGGAATGGAGCGACGTCCCCCGCTCTGGTGGCAATGGCGGTGATGGTGGCGGGAGGGGAGGCGGCAGCAGCGCCAGCGGCAGGGGGACAGGCGGTGTCGGCGGTAGCAGCTACAGCCAGGTCCGGGTCGTCGAGGTTGGCCCACTGCTGGTGGCTATGTCTATTCTGAGGCCGGGTTTCGGAGACCCGCCGCCGGGCAGGCGTGCATCCCTGGCGCTGGCCATGCGCATGGGTCGCCTGGCGGTGGTGTCGGGGCAGTTCTGGGCCGGACCGCCCGAGGCATTGGCAACCCCATCGCATGGCGGCAGCTCCAACGGCGGCGGCGGCGCTAGCTCTTCCTCTGCAACGCAGCAGACCGCCGCCGCACCTGAGCCACTGCGGGCGGTGGGGCGGTGGTGCGGTGTGAGGATGCCCCGGAGCTGGCGTTGATGTCTCTTAGGATTGCCGGAGAACAGCAGACCCCGCGGGTCGGTGGTGCCGGGTGGTGGGCGGAGGAGGCGGAGTGGTGGGGTCTGGCGGCCGGGGTGATGCGGCACTGCATCAGGGGAGAGCCGGGGAGCGCCCAGGAGGTCTTGCTTAATGTATATCGCTGGAAGCTTGCCGAGCTAGGGCTGGCTGTTCATGGTAAGTGGCAAATGATAATGGGGAGGCGGGGCTTGGTGCTGACTCTTCAGGGCCAGGCATGCGGACCTTGGGGTGTGGGGTGAGGGGCCCAATGCGAAAGAGGGCGGATCTCTGTCATTCTCGCGTTTCCCTGGCCCCGTGTACACAGTAAGCGTAAGAAGCAGCTGTTCCAGAAGCAGTTGTTCCGGGGGAAATAGCGCAGTCCTCTTGTTTGCAGTGCCTTGCTGCCGAAGTGCACACCCATACGCCTCTCGCGTACCTTCCCTGCAGGCTCCCTGCCGCCGCCCTCCCCCCTGCTGCGGGACCTGGCTGGCTCGCTGGCGCTCTGCCTGGAGTGGCTTCTGCGGCGGGGCGGGCAGGACACAGCGGGATCTGAGGCGGAGGTGATGATGAGGCCTGGTGGCCACTTCAAGGCGCTCCTCACGTCCCTGGTGGTGCCGCACGCCGACTCGCGCCACACAGCCTCACTGGCAGCCACGCTGGGCAAGCTGCTGCTGCTGCACGGGAGTGACCAGGACGCCGCGTTTGCTGCCCGGGTCCGCGAGCTGATGGATGCCCTGCCGTCGGAGGCTCGCGACCAGCTGCTGCCTCGCCGCTGCGGCCACCCCGGCTGCGTCAACCTGGCGGGGGTGAGTGAGGCGGAGCTGCCGCTGCAGGCGTGCGGGCGGTGCGGAGGGGTGTGGTACTGCGGCCGGGAGTGCCAGATGGCACACTGGCGGGCGGGGCACCGGGAGCAGTGCGGCAGCGGGGGCAGGCGGCGGGCGGGGGCGGCAGGGGACGGCTGAGGCGGCGGCTGCAGTAGCATGCACTTGGAGGGTGGTTGCATGGGTGCATGAGGGGTGGGGAAAGGTGTACGGTAGTGAGAGGAGCTGGATTGTTGCATGGGGCATGGCAGGCTGACGGAAGTGGGTCAGAGGGTGCACAGCACGTGTATCACGAGTAAGTGCATGGTGGCGGCCCCGGGACGCGGGCGCGGTGCTCTCCATGCGCCTGCTGCCCAAGGCTGCTAGCTGGGGCATTGGGAGCCGACCACAGACTACGGAGTAGTAACCATGCGCCTGGGAAAGGATGCGCGTTCCGCGTTGTGCATTCAGTTTGTGCCGGTAGCAGTGCTTGGTGATGAAGTAGTGCGTGGCTAGCATGCTCGGGTTCATGCCATGCAGATAGTTGCGAAACGAATATTATAACCATTTCATTTTCGGTCAGGCAGGTTACCGGTATATCGATCCCGATAGATCAAATGTCCGGTCGGAGGATAATGACGTTGCGCAAGACACGAGGGAGGGCCTTCGGCGCTGTGTAAGTTGCAACTGTTGGGGTGCGCTCAACGGCCGTGTGTGCACGCACGCACGCACGGCGGGCCGAGTAACGCTCATGTAAATGTTGCTGGCAACTGATGTACGTGCCTGCTGTCACGCACCCCGTCCGTACAGCATGTCGCATTTGCGCCTGCCGTACAGTAGCTCCGTACGGCATGCCGCACATGTACCGGATCAGCATGTGCCGTACCTACCTCTCTTTGGGAGCATCATGCATGCCGGCAGGGGTCCCGTTCATGGTGTGCAGCCTTGCCCATTCGAACACATCACTTGGGCGGCTAGGCTGAGAAACCCAGCTGGGATGGCTCCTGGGATGCCCCTAAGGACCTGTTGCCATCTTGTTGCAGCGAGTGCGCATCCGCCCAACAACCGCCCTCAGCGGGCTCAGCCGCAACCACCCCCGCCACAACTTTCCCTCGCCACAACCTTTCCCCGCCCTCCTCCACAACCACAACCTTCCCCCGCCACATCAACACCACACACGCAACTCACAACGGCACGCCCCGCGCGCCACAGCCCCTAACCGACCTGCTGTTGGGTCGCCTCAACAGCCGCACCACACCCCCTCCACCCCACAACGCACCTCGTAGCACCTAACTGCGGCGCGTCTCGAGCGAGGTAACCACGGGTGCAACGCAACCAGACGAACCACGCACCTCGCATACTCAAACCTGCAACCCCTGCCTGCCCTGCATTATGCCCTCTACTACGCCCTCCTCAAGCAGCCCGCCCCCAGCTCGAAATCGCAACCGCCCCCGCCCCCCATCATACGGTATGGGCCAGTTAGCAACCCATGGAGGAGCCTCGTCATCCAGTTTGTCGTTTTTCTTTAACTTTGCCCCCCCTCCGCACCCCGCAACCCGCAGTGCCGTAGGACAACCCCTCCGCCCCCCTGCGCCCTAATAGCCCCTTCGTCGCCACCCGGCACTCCCTCCCCACGATAAGGCCCCGCACCGCCCTCGCAACAAAGCAACAACGAGTCCTCTTCTCCGGCCTTCTCCATCCCACCCTCCAGTCCCTACCCCCCTCATGCTGCACAGCCTTCCGTACACCATACCCCATACCCCAGCCCGGCGCCCCTGTCATCTACCGGCGCCCCGCACCCCGCACTTCCCCTCTTCCCCGACTTCTTAACTCTGCCATTCCTGTACCCCTTTCCGCTACGCCCCTCCTCTCATCCTCCCTCCCTCGCCTCTCCTTTCCTCTCCACCCTTCCTCCCTCCCTCCCTCTCCATCCCTTTCTGCAGCATCACTTGAGCTGCTTCAGCGCGTCTCCCTGCCCCTGGAAAAAGGTGAGTGACAGGAAGAAGTCCGCCACGAAGATGGTGACCAGCGAGATCACCACCGCACTAGTGGTGGACTCGCCCACCCCCTTGGCGCCGCCGCTGGTGGTGAAGCCCCAGGCGCAGGAGATCTGGGGGCGTGGCGTGGAGGGCGGGTGGGCGGGTGGGGTAGGTTAGGGTCCGGAAGGGAGGCGAGGGAAGGGGGGCGCGGGAATGGAGGCGAGGGAAGGGAGGCGAGGGAAGGGAGGCGAGGGACGGAGGAAGATGTCTCTAGGGGCTCTAGGATACCGGGAACTGAGCCGCGAGGAAACACCGAACCTGTCCTCATGAAGACCCCTAGGGAATGGAGCGTGTGCGGGAAGCCCATGGGCTGGATGCCACATGCTGGAGGCCACAAGGGCGATGTGCGGGTAGGCCCCTCTACCACCCCCTGCCCTCCCCCCTCCCTCCCCCTCACCGTGGCAACCACCGTGCCAAACACCCAGCTCTTCACCATGCTGGTCAGCACGTCGTACGAGGTGAGCGCCCGCCGCGCCGAGTCCACGATCACATTGGCGGGCACGTTGTACACCAGGTCGGCCAGCAGCACCGCGGCGCCCATGCCTGGGGGGGGCGGTGGGAGGGGGGAAGAAGAATAGGAGGGTTAGAAGAAGGAGGGGGAAGAGGAGGGGAGGTGGGGTGTTGGGGTTTTCAAGTATAGAAGCGGGGAAGCGCATACAGCAGAAGGGGCTCTGTCTCGCTGCCCCGGCTGCGGTGAGCAAGTGGGCGCAGCACCTGCGCCTTCTCTGTGTAGCGTTGGTGAGTACCCCCCTGCAGTGTACCTCCCAAGCACCCCACCACCACCACCTGCAACCCCTGCAACTCGGCCCCGTCCCTCCCTCGCGCAGCCCCTCTCCCCCTCCCCCCCACACAGGCCCCACCCATGCAGAAGCACAGCACGTTGAGAATGGGCCCCGCGATCATGCTGGCCAGCACCCGCGGGGTGACCAGGTAGTCCACCGGGTCGGTGAACAGCACCCGCAGGCTGTCCATCTGCTCGGAGACCTGCGGGGGGGGAGGACGGGGGGACAGGGGGCAGGGAGGGACATAAAGGTTAGTGCAGCAACGGAGGGCTCAGGCCTGAGCAGCAGGGGGGGAGGGGGAAGGACAGGGTGTGCAGGGGACAGGGGTTTCAGAGGATATAAAAAGGAAGTGGAGCACTGGAAGGGAGGAGGGGGGGTAGCCAGCGGAGGACCCAGGGGACACGCCAAGAGGAAGAAAGCAACGGCGCGCCCCTGAGGTCTTCTCTGACCTCCACGACACCGCCCGCCCCCTCTCCCTCCCCTCCTCCCCCAGCCCTCCACTCCCCCCCACAGCCCTCACCTACATGTTCACATGTTGCAACCCATGTTGACGCCTTATCCCTCAGTCAGTTAGTTGTTTCCTCTTTGCCCCCCCCCGCACCTGCATGGTCCCCAGCTCCGCGGCGAAGGCGCTGCCCACCCTGCCCGCCAGGATGATGGCGGTCACCACGGGAGTCAGCTCGCGGGACAGTGCCAGCGCCAGCACGCCGCCCACGGAGCGGGTCAGACCCAGCTTGGCGAACTCACGGACGAACTGGAACGGGTAGGGGAGTGGTGAGGGGGCGGGAATAGAGATGGGGTGGAAAGACAGGGGTGCGGACCCGGCGGTCAAAAAGGGGACCGGGGTGGGATTGTTGCTGTGGTCTGGAAAGAGCAGTCAATCCATGTCGTGACAATGGCACCTGGGGTTTGAGTGTCGGCTTGAGCTTGCGCACCTGGATGGTGAAAACCATGCCCACGAAGCCCGCTGTTAACAGCGATACCCCGAGCGACGCCGGGCCAACAAGCCGCAGCTGCTCCGCCGTGTTCCGCCAATGGATGTTGCCTGTGGGCTTCCATGGGACAAGGTGATAAGCAAGCAAAGCCGTTACCTTTTCCACATCAGCCAAAGCTTTGGTTACCTTTAAAGATGCGCAACACCACTTGCCCTCCGAGCACGAGGCAGGCGACAGAACGAAACAGCCATTTGGGCGCCTTGTATTTATCTAGCACCTTTAAAATGCCTGCATTTCGTCAAACGCGTATAGTAAGCGATCGGATACGCCATAACGCGTTCCCTATCTGAATTGGGTTTACCTGGTGCGCCGGGCGTCTGCTCAATTGGCGTCGACTCTCGCTCCTCTGGCTCCGGCGCAATAGCGTCAAGTGTCGAGTTTGCTACACTAATTGGTGTAAGCCTAGGCCTCTTGCACGGTGATCGCACTGGTCCTAGCGGTTGACATGTAGTGTGTACACCATTGAACGCGGGTCGTCTTAGCGTAAATGGCAGCGGCGCTAGGTGCGGCGTCGTGTGGATTATGCCCCGACCTATCTGGCCCGGTAGGGCCATTCCCACGGCTGGGTACGCTACGTGTTAACCGGCAGGGCCTTCTCCACACAGAGAAAAGATTACAGTAGTATTTAAGAGGTATGAGCCGCACTTCTGTAGCCTCGGATATCCATTAAAGCTGCTACTTATGGTGCATAGCACGCTCAGGAAGGGTCTGACGAAGCCGGTCACAAATCGTACAACTGCCTAACGGTACACACCCTTGCAGGGGCAGGTTGCAGCCTATTGGGCACCGTAGGGAGAAAACTGTTGGGGCCAGACAGAGGCCATGCACCGCCCCAGAAAACATCAGCATTGTCGTTTTAACGCGTCTGCCCAAGGGGGAGGTGCATTTCTCTAAAGGTAAACTGGTAAGCGTACCTAGGCTAACCGCCTGGCAGGTGGCACTGGCTAGTCAGTGGGCGCACTGTGACTGCACAAGGCCCTGCATACTATAAGCATGAACCAAATTCTGGGGACAACCATATGGCTACCGGTATAGAGTCATGGCGCGGTTCCCGTTGTGTTGTCTGGTCCAGCCATTAGTAAGGAGAAGGGTACGGCAAGGCATGTGGTACAAACGCTTGAGCCGCCAGGGTGCCCTGCCACGCTACAGATTCGCCTGCCTTCCCATGCAAGTTCACGAAGACCTTCCAGGCCTACCCAACCAGCACAGCGCGACAGCCAAACTCATATTGAAGCGTGTCACCGCAACCAAGTGCTTTGGCAACTTGGGAGCGGGGAAAGCACCCATGGTAAACAGCAGGCATGACCACCGGTACCGGTACTTATGAAGGAGGCACCGTCGTAATCGCGCCCCCCCGCCATTCCCCAGTCTCGGCACCGCAGGCTCCCTCACAATCCGACGTTTGTTCCCCGCCCCTAGCCAGGGTGGTCACCCTTCGTACGACAGCAGAGGGCAACGTCTGCGCTTATTGCGTGCCCCGCTGTGTTCAATAGAAACATTCCCAAACATTCCCAAGATTGTAACAGTCCCAACAGGCTTAGCGGAACGTACATGTTCAGACATCCGCAAAAGTATAGCAAAACGTGTACCCGCGTTCGAGCCGGGCTTCTTTGCACTAGCAGTTCTCTTACGACACGCACTGCTTGGCATGACTAAGAACCTTGCAGAGTACTGTTATAGGGCTGTGAAGCAGCCCTCATTTCCTGAGGCCGTGAGTCATGCATTTTTCAAGCTTGTAGTCCACCCCAATCAGCTGTTCGCGATAACTGCTCCTGTATCTATTTAAAAGCAAACCGTCATCATAAGCATTTAGCATCAGTACCATAATTACCAGCAGCACAACGCAAACCAGTAGAAGCCAAGGCAGCCGGCAAAAACGGCGGGGCTTGCAACTCACGGCAGCCCTTGGTTGCTATGTTCGCCACCTGCCACTCTAGTACACACTTTCGACCTCCGAACTGCAGTCCTCAACACAGCGCCGTGAGAGAAGGCCATCGCAAGGTGCCACGGTACCCTTCCAAATGTCCCCAGCATGCCTCCATCCTCGCACTGGCTCATGGCGTGTCACGTTGCCCAAACAACAACTTCAACCGCCACAACCACCGCCAGTTTACGGAACAGGAATAACAGTAAGGCATTCTCCCACACTCTGCGACAGTGCTACAATATCGGTAATTTTATTCGCTCGGGTTTCTAGGCCTGCTACGTGCACGACCCAACCGCAAAGCCGCAACTGCGCCTCCCTCCTGCTTTCCCCCAACCAGACAACCCCGCATAACAAACAGCCTAGACAGCTATACCTACACAACCACACAAAAGCATACACACGCCTGCCATTTGCGTCAATAGCATAACAAGCTACTCTTCATGGCGGCGTACAAGGGCGCAAGCAACGGCGGCGGCCCTCATGCTCCCATCCCCTGCCTCCGCTGTCCCCTCCAAACGCCCCAGCTCACTAGGGTCACTACCTCGCCTGCGTCACGACCTCCCGTCGGAACCGCCGCCGCAGCCGCGCCTCCTCCACGAATGCGACAACCTGGCCAATCAACCCAAACAACAGCGCCCCAGCAACCACGCACCGCGCCGAGTAGAAATGACAACCCAGTCCGCCGCCGCCGCCGCCCTCGTCACATGCAAACCCGTAATCCAAAGCAGCAGTAACAGTTCCTTTTCCTCCGCCGCCGCCGCCGCCGGCATTGCAGGCACTCTTGCCGTACAACGTGGCCAGATGTACGACATCAATGGCAAACATCTGTACTGCAACGAGCAGCTGCGCTTGCGGCCTTAGCTGAGTCATGAGAGGCGCCAGCACGCCGCGGGTTGCAGGCAGCGAGAAGCGGAACCCCAACTCATCCTGACCCACATCCAGCTGCGGCCGGCTGCCGGTGTAGGTCAGCAAGCCCAGCAGCGCCGCCGCTAGACCAGTTGTCAGCACCGACAGCAGTTCCACCTCCTCCGCGTCGGGACCGGTACCTGCTTCGGTGTCACTACCATCAGCAGACGCTGCAACCTTACGTTGCCCTACCGCGGCGAAACCCTGACCGCCGCCGCCCACGCCGCCGCCGCCACTGCTGCTGCCGCCAGCCTCCGCCGACTGCTCCCCTTCCTCCGCCGCTCGGGCCAGCTGCTGTCGCTGCCGGCGGTGGTATTGTCGTACCACAGCGGCGGCTGCGTGGCCTGCCAGCGGCGACGACAGCCACGTCATCCCCGCTAGCGCCTTCACCAGAGGGTGAGGGATGCCTCGGAACCACAGGCGCAGTGTCGTCGCCACGACGCCGATGGCCATCACCGCCGCGAACGACGTCACAGCCGCGGCCCTCTGGCGGCCGCCGGCAGCCTGCGCCCGCCATGCCGTGTACGCCGCCTCGTAAGGCACCACCACCGCCGGAGCTTCCAGATCTGCCGTCGCTGCGGCATGCTTTGCTGGCTCACCTCCTAACAGCCGCTGAGCACCGCCGGCAGCGGCCGCTGCTGTTGGTAGCATGGCAGCGGAGGGCGCTCCGGCGGCTACACAGGACGTCACCGTTAGCCCAGCGGCGGCCTCCGCAGGCGGCTGCGCCGGGGCTTCTCGGAGCTCTCCAGTGGACGGGAATAGCGAGCGCCGCAGCGGCCGGGGCGGCGGCGGCGGTGATGGCGGCACCGGCGGCTCCTCCAGCAGCGAACATGTCGCTGTCAGCCCCTGCCGCAACAGGTACGAGCGAACGTACGACCGAAGGGATTCCAGGTCCACTGCCGCCGGCTGCTTCCTGCTGCCGCCTCCGTTAGCTGCCGCCGCCACCGCCGGCCCTGCCGTAACCGGCGCTGCCGCTGATCCAGCCGCCGGCGGGGGAACTGTGACGGTGATGCAGCTGGTGGTGATGTCAGTGCGGCCGAGGCCAGCAGAGGAGGTCCTGTTGCTCCTGCGGGGAGCGCTCACGGCCCCACCGGCATGGCTGGTTAGGCTGTTACCTCCCATGTAAGTTGCCGCCGTGGCTAGGTCAAGCAGCAGGGACTGCAGGTGCTTGAAGGCCTGGGCCCCCGCTTGACTGTAACGAGAGCTAGAGCCCCTGACTGCCGCCCCCTCGACCGCCTCCTCCTCTTCCCCAGACAACGGCTGCGTCAGCATGCCGGATGCCGCCTCTTCCGCTTCTCCTCCTTCTTCTTCCTCCTCTCCGTCGCTGCTGCCCCACTCCTCCCCGCCGCCTTCCGCCGCCAGCCTCCCCGCCACCTCCGCCACCATGCGCCGCCACAAGCCCCCCAGCTCAGCCTGCACTGCCCCTGCGCGGAAGACCGCCGCCGCCGCCGCTGCCTCAGCTGCCGCCGCTGCCCCAGTTGCTGCCCCTCCTCCCGCCGCCGCCGCAGCTGCGGGCCCGGCAGGAGTAGCTCTCGACCGGGCAGCAGGCTGCTGTGCGGCCGCATCAACCGCTAAGGCACCAGCTCCCTGCCCTCCAGCTCCGCCCGCCGCCGCTACCTCCGGCACCAGCAGCAACACGTCCACGTAGCCCAGCCAGTCCGTGGGACCCGAGATGCGCTCACGCAGCCCGGCGCGAGACCCGTCCTCCTCGCTCCCCTCGCTCCTGCTGCCTGCACCCCCTGCTGCCCCCACAGCAACCTCCTCCACCGCGGCTTGCGGTAGCCGGAGCAGGTGCAACGTCAGCACCACCGGCCGTACACGTGGCGTCCTCGGCAGTCCCACAACCGTTGTGGCGGCGACGGAGGCGAATCCCTGGTCCCATGCCGTACCTTGCATTCCGTGTACGGCATCGGCGGCCCCCGCCGCCCCCGCCGCAGAGTTGCTGTCGGCAGAGCCGCTTTCACCTCCTTCTGCTCCATCCCCAGCCAACGCTGCCAAGAGCTCTGCTACCGGCAGCTCCACCACTAGCCCGCCCGCCCAATCCAACGCATCTCCGCTTCCGCCGCCGCTGATGTCACTGCCAGAACGTGAGGAGGAAAGCGGGGAGCCCCCTGGTGCCCTGGGTCGCACCGTCGCCGGTACGACACATGCGAGTCGCCCCGTACTGGGAGCCAGGTCAGCGGTGGATGCGTGCTGCAGGGAGCCACTGCTGCTGCTGCTACCGCCGCCACTGCCAGACTCACAGTCCAGCAGAGCCGCGACGACGAACTGGCCGCTGCCCGGACCTGCCGCCACACTCTCCGCCGCCGACGGCGCTGGAGGCATCAGGCCACTCAGCACCTCCGGCGGCGCCATCAAGCGCAACGTCAGCGTCGCGGCGGGCGCTGCAACTGCCGTACACGGCGGCCGCGTCCCGGCGCTGGCGTTGCCGCTGACGCTTCCGTTAGCGGCATGGCTGCCGCCGACAGCACTCACACCAGCGCCGCTGACGATGTACGGCAAACAAGGCAACGCAACGGCGGCGGGTTCGGCGTACAAGGGTACGATGGCAGAGATCGGTGTCAGCGGCTGTGACAACGCATCGCCAGAAGAAGAAGGATCCTGCTTCGGATCTGAGGGCGGGTCCGGATAACGTTGCTGCTGCTGCTGCGAATCCTGCGAATGCTGCCGCCACCCGTCCTGCGGGTCGACAGCCGCCGTGCCGCGTCCTACCTCCCTCACTGCGACCGCCGCCTCCTCCCCGGGCTGCTCGCTCTCTCCCTCCAGCCGCACGCCCCTGCCGTACGGCCTCCGCGTCTGCCCAGTCGACCCCGCAGGCCCCACACCCAGCAGGGCCATGCGCTGCAGCACCTCCCACCCACCCCGCTGGAGAGAGCCCTCCAACTCGCCGGCAGCGGCGGCGGCGGCGCCAGCAGGCGTCCTGCGGTCGTCCAGCGACAGCCGACGTCCTCTGTCGCCTGCTTCCGAGCTAGACGGCGGCGCGGTGTCCTCCTCCTCCGTCGTGTCATCGGGAAACCAGTCAGCGTCGCCGCCGGTGCTGCTTCCCTCGCCGGCGGTGACGTCAGCGTCGGCAAAGTCGCCCCACATGCGCATCACAGCCACCAGACGGACGCAGCCGGGCAGCGCCAGGAACTGAGCTGACAGCGGCATGTCGCCGCCAGCCGCCGCGACAGCAGTGAGGAGGTGGCGCGCTGCCGCCGCAGTCAGCGCCGCCGCCGCGTCGTGAAAGGAGAGCCCAGCAGGCGCCTCAAACTGCGGGTCGTAAGAGGGACGAGGGGCGGTTAAGCTGGCTGTTGTTGGAGAACCCGTGCCCCAGCCGCAAAGCTGGGCATGGCTCTCCTCAAGGGACAAGTGACGCGTTTAACGGTGGAAACTGCTGGGATGCGCGTGCGATAGGCTGGCCGGCTGCATGGCATTCCCCCACGCCCCCATTCTAACTTGTGAACCAAACAAGCGGATTGCATCATACATAAGCAGTGTCCGCCAGCGTTAGGGGCTTGGTGCTTCGCCCTGTACCCTGTTACTGCCTTCAACTAGTATACTTTTCATTCTGATCCTGAAACGCACCTTGCCACTCAACACTAGATGCGTTGGGGTCGGGGCAATGCCGCGGCGCCACCGGGATATGTACGGCAGCACCGCCTTGGCGCCCCGCCTGGCCCCAAGGACAGGGGCAGCGGTACCGTCGCAGTACGCCTCTGGACTAAGCCTAGGCATAGCGCCCTTGGGCGGTGAGGGCAGTGTGATTGCCCTGCATTGGGACTGGTGTATAGTGCTGGTGTGCAACACTGTGGTGACCCGGAGGGCAGGCGAAACCATCCGCGGCCTGTCATCGCCGCTGTAGTCGCCGGGTACGCCAGATGTGCCATGTTGCGTGGACGTCGTTTGTCCTGATCTACGTGTACATGATGCACTAAGTCTGGACAACCAGCGTTGGCAACCGGCTATGGCGAGGACGAACGCTATCAATAACAGCGACGGAAGGCAAAAAGTTTGAAGCCCCTTGTTGGCCTGCGATTAACAAAATGACAAGCAGGCATGCAAGTTATATGCTGTGCAGTACACAAGGCAAGGATTAGGAAGGGCTCCGGGTATGCACCCCTTCTACACGCCTACCTCAAGACTTGCCAGCAAGTCCCTGAGCGAGCCCAGCGTGAAGCTAGTTTCTTTCGCCAAATAGAGAAAGAGGCGCAAAGGTACTTCTGCCTCCTGTAAGGCGGGCGCCGAACTCCCATGCCCTTGACTTTGTAAGCCTGCTGCTCGCAATGCCATTTATCCTAAGTTTAGGTAGTCATCTACATATCAAGACATTGTCGCAACCATCGTTGACAGCTGAACTCGCGTTCATCAATCTGGTACAGTTTACTAAACCTTGTGTCCCGGTGCCGTGCTGTTGCGTTGGACGATAAGGACGTCCTTTCACATCCTGGCTAGCCCCTATGCAAGGAGGAACTACAGCACCAGCGTAAACCTGCACGCAGGTAAATCTTGTACTGCTTTTCGGATACGTCTGAACGCGCCCGGGACACAGTGCCTATTACGCAATCGCGTATTGTTTAACTCCATGATCATGCCCTGGCCATAGAAACTTCAATTCAACCTAACACGCCTCATTGTACACGGAAACACGCTCGATAGTTGACACAATTCCCTCGTGTCATCGGAGCGGTTCGCATGCCAGGCTTTAGCTCGCTTGCCAGAAATGCCTTTGCGCGAAAACTGCGGGCACTGTGGTTCACTGTTTGCAGGGTAGAGCATTATGGCATGGAACCATGGATTACTTGCACGAATACCGGGATTGGGTACTTGTTGCGTATGCCTGACATGCGCCACCTCCCAAGACCTCCAACTCACGGATCCCCCAAAACTCACCGCCCGCTCGCTCCTCTTACCCCCTTCCTACGCTTGCGCGTCGCACGCGCCTATCCCCAGTCCACCATTCCTAACGCCGGTCTCCCACCCTAGCGCCATCCTAGCACCGATGGCACCTGTACATCGGCAACACCCCCTCATCATGCAAACACGGCATCTTCCAGCGTTATCAACCTCAGCACCGAATGCGCCAGGGACAGCTTGGCCCCAAAGATGCGCTCCAGACTCTCTTGCGTCGTCGGCGCCGCTGCTGCCGTACTTCCGCCGCCGCTGCTGCTGCTGCTCTCCGCGTCTCCCTCCGCATCCTCACGCGCCCTCATGTCGCGCAGGAAGCTGTACGCAGCGATAAACGTCTCCGCTCCCAGCTCTCGCTCCAAGTCTATCCTCAGCTGCTCAACCTTCAGCGCGTTATTAGCCGCGGCGGCGGCGGCGGCAGCAGTGGCGGAGGCAGGAGATCCCGCAGCCCCCTGGCCCCCAGTCGCACCTCCTCGGCCTCCCCCCTGGCCCTCGTCGTCTCCGTCCCCCTCGCCGCCGCCTTGGCCCCCGTCCTCGTCCTCCTCCAACACGTCGTGGATCTGCGCCAGCACCTCCAGCAGCCCCGCAGTCGCCTGCGCACGCACCCAACACCCCGACAGCGTTGCACACCCGAGGCATCCACAATGGGATGGGCACATGTCGCACGTGCGGGGATGTTGGGTGTAGGAAGACACACACATGCGCACATCCCGGTAGATGCATCACTTAGCTACAGTACCGGTACGACTTTCTTGAAGCGGACGCTTTATAACAGCGTCAGCTGTACGACACAACCCCACTAAACGGCACGAAGTACGGCAATGCCCTCCTCCGTCAAAACAATGCAGCGCTCCCCAACACACGCACGCAGGCACGCACCTGTTCATCCTCATCGGCCTCATGGCGAGCCAGGTCAGCACCGTAGCCGTCCATGTCGCCGTCACGTTCCCCCTCACCGCCCCCCCTGTCGCCGGCCCCACTCTTGCCGTTGCCGGCCGCCTCCGCCAGTTCCGCCAGTTCTGTGCCGGAGCCGTAGGGGGTGAAGATCTCCACGGCAGGGAATTCCGCCACTCGAGCGGGTCTATGCCTGCAGAGGCGGTGAGGGAGGAGGCGTGAGGGAGGGGGGGTACAATATAATGAGACACTGACGATGCAACTGACGAGCTGTATGACAAGGCTTCACCATGGGGTGCTTCACCAGGGGCGGGGGGGGCGGGTAGCGGGGAAGAGGCCAGCGAGTGAGGCGGTAGGGGAGGCAAGGCGGCCAGTAGCCCGGGAGACTGCCCCCCGAGCTGCCCTGGTGGCGCCCTGCTCCAGGCGGGAGACCGGTGACACAGCCACCATGCATGCACGCATGCATGCATACCAGTCTTACGGTAGCCATCACCGCCACATGCACCTCCCCCCACCTTCCCTTCCCTTCCCAATCCCCACCACTTCCCCCACCCCCACCCCCTCCACCGCACCTCTGCTTCCACGGCGGCGGCTCCGCAGCAGCTGCCCGGGACCGTCCCGCCACCCCCGCAGCGCCCTGCACCCCGGCCTCTCCCCCTCCGCTCCCCGCCCTCTCAGCCCCCGCCTCGCCGCCTCCGCTGCCGCTGCTGCCCCCACGTGCAGCACGAGCCACCGGCGGCGCCGCGGCAGGAGACAGGGGCCCCGGCGGCCGCCGCCGGGGGACACCACCACCCGCCCCACCACCACCACCACTATATCCATCTGAGGCAGCTGCACCAGCACCAGCAGCACCGCCACCGCCACTGCTGCTGCTGCAGGTGCCGCGCACCGCTGCCGCTGGGTGCGGTTGAGGGCCCCGGTTGCGAGCAGCGGGCAGCGGCGAGGGCCGGGCTGAGGATGAGGCGGGGTGGGTGGGCTCGGCGGGCTGGGAGGCGGAGTCGAAGTTGACTACCAGGACCTGCTGCGGAATGGGGGAGGCGGCGAGGAGGGTGAGGAGCCGCGATAACGGGCGCGTGATTGCGGCCATGACGCCCATGAGCGGGCATGAACCCATTCTCGTCTGCCACCCTTACCCAGCTGTGAAACCCGCCAGCCCACCACGGCTCTCCCTCTCAGCTGCACCCTCCTGCCTCTTCCCCTTCCCCCCAACGCAGCCCACACAGCACTCGCACCTGCGCCCCACCCAGTCCCCCCTCGCTCCCGCCTCCTGCTCCTGCTCCTCCTCCCCCACCCCCACCACCCCCCGCCGCCCCCAGCGCCGTCGCCATGCGCGCCGCGAACTGCGCCCCCAGCTCCCCCAGCTGCTCCTTGTTGACCCGCGGCCGCACCGCCCGCAGGTGCTCCCGGTGCGCCGAGATGTGCTGCGCCGCCTCCTCAGCCTCCCGCCGCCGGGCCTCCTGAAAGGGGGGGTTGTGTGTGGATACGGGGTAGGATACGGGGTGCATGCGGGGTGGATGTGAGATGGAAAAGAGGTGAGGTAAAGTAGTAGGGTGTTGAGGGCCGGGAAGACGCGTTCCAAGGCAGGCGTTAGCCCCGTCGCCCCCTCCTCCTCACCTCCCTGCTCTTGATCTGCGCCGCCAGCTGCTGCGCCTTGAGCTGCTTGGCCTCGACCTCCGCGCGCTGCTCGGCTAGCTGCCGCTCCTGAGAGGGGGGGAGAAGGGGGAAGAGGAGAGGGGAAAACCCTACTTACAAGTGAAACAACGAGAGGGGGGAGGGGGTCAGAGGGCGAGGTGTGGGCAGGGTGAGACCAGAAGGGCGGTGAATCGCCTAAACCATACGCCGCTAACCACTCCGTACATAGGCGTTAGGCGCGCACAGGCTCACAGTCCGGCGTGAGACCAACACCATGACTGCCCCCCTCACCACCCCCTCCCTTGCGCCCCCACCGTTTCCCGCTGCCTCTCCGCCGCCCGCTGCTTGAGCGCCAGTGCCGCCTCGTGGTTCCTGCGCTCCGCCACCGCCCGCCGCTGCTCTCGCTGCACCGCAATCACCCGCCGCTGCGCCTCGCGCTCCGCATCCCGCTGCAGCCGCAGCTCCAACAGCTTGGCCTGGAGGGGTGGGGGGAAGAGGAGGGGAGGGGGAAGGTGTTGGCGTAGGGGAGGTGAAGAGCAGGGCCGCGTCCCACGTCCCCTTAAGCCCCCTGCAGCTCCCCGGCAGCTCCCCACACATCGTGCATGCTTGCCCACCCTCGCCCTCTCCAGCCCCCGCCACATGCCCCCGCCACATGCCCCACCTTGGCAGGCGTGCAACCGCCACCACCTCCGCCCGCTCCGCCTCCGCCGCCTCCTCCCGCAGCTGGCAGGGTGGCGTCTATCGCGGCGCCCCCGCCCTCCCCTCTCCCAGCAGCAGCAGCAGCAGCGGGAGGCGAGCCCGAGTCGCCCGACTCCGCCCCCGACCCGCCTGCGCCTGCGCCCTGACCGCTTGGGCCGGGACCCGGGCTGAGGGCGCAGGCAGCCGCCGCGGCGCCCTGGAGCCACAGCGGGCAGCGGCAGGCACAGCAACACACCGTCAGCTGCCTAGCTTGAGGAAGATGGACGAATGAGCAGTGTGGATCTAACGCTGTAAGGTCCTCATGGAGGCACCTGCTACCCCACAGACAGGCAGGCAGCCGCCCAGCGAGTGCAATGCGGCCAACAGTACTCGCGCGGCTCAGCTGGTGCAGCTGCCTCGCCCCCTTCTCCCTCCCTTCCCCCCCCACCTTCTGCGCTGCCAGCTCCCCTGCCAGCTGCGCCAGTGCCGCCTGCTGCTGCCGCACCCACCCGCTCTCCAGCAGCCGCCCGCCTCCACCCCGCCGGCCCCCCGCAGCACCGGCAGCTGCTAGGGCGGGGCGGAGGGGGGAGCTGGGGTGGCAGCGGGGGTGAGGGGGGAGGGTACCGGTGGGTAAGTTGGCAAGATGGAAGAGTGCATGCGCATGCAGAGAGCCAGGGAGGAGCCAGGGTGGAGCTGGAGAAACCCCTGGCTGCCGCCGCTTTCTTGCCGGCTGCTTGCCGCACAGCCCCCCTCCCTCATACAGGCCGGCGAACACAACAAAGCACATCTCTGAGAGGTGCAGAGAACCTCCTCGCGCCCCACCCTCTCCGCACCCCCTTTGCATCCCCCTCCCTCCCCTCCCTCCCCTCCTCCACACAGCCACGCCCAACCCACCCACCATCCCTCCGCAGGTGTGGAAGGCGCTGTCGTGTCGCCCTCACTCACATCCCGCGAGTCCCCCGCATCGGACGCCGCCGCGCCACCCACAGCCCCCGCTCCCGCCGCTGCTGCCGCCACCCCCGCCCCCGGCCCCGGCCCTCCAGCCGAGGGTGCCCGAGGTGGCCGGGTGGCGGGCCGGGGCCGAGGAGCCCTACTGGGCAGACCGGGCCGGGGCCGCGCCTCGGCTGCCCCCAGCTCCATCAACCCCAGAGCCGCAGCGGCGGCGGCGGCAGTGGCAGCAGCACTGCCGTACCCCTCGCCCGCCTCCCCAGCTGCCGCTCCCTCCGCCGCCGCTGCGCCTCCTCCCGCCCCCGCTCTGCCATGCCCCAGCCCCAGTGCTACCACATGGGCGCCGTAGCGCTGCAGGTGGTGCCGTACGAACTCGGATCGCAGGATGACGTCAGCGTTGGGCCGGTCCTGGCGGCAGAGAGCGGTAGGGAAGGGGCAGGGAGGGTTGTACGGATGTGTGCGGGATGGGAGCATGCTGGGATGCTGGGAACGGATGGGGACGCGGAGGAGGACGGCTCTCTCATATGATGGCGGATGCTGCATGAGCTCCTCTCTCTCGATGGGGGGTATCTCCACCGCCCGCACCGCTAATCGCCACCACACCCACAGTGTCCTACTTCGCGGCCAGTTTCCTTTTGAAACACACACACAGCCCCAAAGGGGTGGCCGGCCGTCGCGCTCACCTTGGGGTTTTGTTTTAGCATGGACTCGATGAGGTGGCGCAGGTGGGTGCTGTAGCGGGTGGGCACGGGCGGGTACTTGCCGCGCAGGATCTTGACCACCAGCGCCGGCAGGCTCTGGCCGTCGAAGGCGCGGCGCAGGGTGGCCAGTTCGTACAGCACGCAGCCCAGCGACCACACTGGGGGGGGGAGGGGAGGAGGGGGGGGGTAAGAATAGGGAAAACCGACGAACTGCATGACGTGGAAGGAGGGAGGAGGGGGGATCAGAGATATACCAATACACATGTTAGGGCAAAGAGGAGGAGGAGGAGGACGAGGAGGGGAAGGGGAAAGAGGGAGGAAGATGAATACGCAATGTGTTGAATGAGATGACAAGCAAAATGAAGGGGAGGGGAGGCCGGAAGTGAACAGAACACCAGGTGGGATAAACCCAGTAGGGCACCAGGTACCTACCCGGCACTGCCCTCCCACCTCGGGTAGACACGCACCCCGACGTCCCCGCCCTCATCCCACCACCCACCCACCACCCACCATCGCTCTTGCGGTTGTACGGCCGGTCCTCGCAGATCTCCGGTGACAGGTAGTACGGCGAACCGATCTGCGATCAGACCGGTAGATTAGCGAAAGGGAAGAAAGGGGTGGTTGAGGGAGTCCTTTTCCCCTTTGTGAGCTCACCCGTCCATACACACCCTGCATACACTCCCCCGCCTACCCACACACACGCCTGCTCTAACTCCCCCACACCTCCCCCACACACCCCCATGCACAATCCGCCCCCCCTCTGCATACCCCTCCCCCCCCACACCCCCACTCACCACTGTCCTCGCCAGCTCCGTGTCGCTGTTGAGCACACGGGCGATGCCAAAGTCACCCAGCTTCAACAGGTTGCCTGGGCCGTGCAACAACCACAACCACCACCACCACACCACAAGCGGGGGCGGTGTAGGGGGGGAGGAGGGAGGGGTGTCATGGGGTGGGTGGCTGGGTGGGCGGATACAGGGGGCAGAGACCCGCCAGCAAAGCCGTGGTAGTGCCGGGCCGGGTTCGTAAGGCATGCAGACTTGGAATTAGCAAAATTCAAGTGGGGGTGCTTGATCTTTCAGCTTCAAGCAATCCCTTCCACCCGTGCGCATCCCCACGTGAGGGCTCTCCCACCCTTAAACCCCCCCCCATCCCGCCACCCCGCCCCTCCCCCCCCCCCCCGCCCCACCCTCCGCTATGAATATGTTTTGCGACTTGAGGTCCCGGTGCAGCACGTTCTGGCGGTGCACGTGGTACAGCGCCAGCGCCACCTGCACGAACCTGGGCGGCAGGGGGCAGCAGGGGGGCGGGTGGCAGTCGGGAGGGGGGCAGGGAGAGGGGAGGGAAAGGGAAGGGAAGCAGAGAGAAGGATGGGGTGTAAGGTGCTGTGAGTTAGAGCCTGGCGCGTGCGGACCATGCATGTTGTGCCAGGGGTGTGCTACGAGGGTAGCGGAGGAGGATGGGCAGGTAGCCAGGGAGCCGAGGATGCCCGCCGCCACCCTCCTCCCCTACCCCTCCTTCCTTCACCCCAACCAGCTCCCCTGCCTCTCCCACCTCCTCTCACCTCCCACCCTGTCTTCACTCCACGGTCACGGCTACAGTGCCTCATGGCGGCTCAGTCATACCGTACTACTCACCCCCACAAAACCCTCCTCTCCCTCCTCCCCCGGTTTCCCCCCCGCCATTTTCTTGCCCCGACCTGTGGTTTCCTATGGTTCGGTATGGTCTTTGAGCCCCCCCCATCCTTTCCCTATCGCACGTATGGCGCGCTTGTGGCGGCTTCCGTGGCGGCTTCTGCGGCGCTGGGTTTCCTCTTTGTAGTCCCCCCTTTATTTACATTTCTTGCATATTCATTTGTTTTACAGCTTATCACCCGTTTTTCTCCGGCACACGCCGAGCACATGTGGGGCCTTGGTGACCGGAATTTTGACAGCAATACAAGCAGTAGACAACTAGAACAGCCAGCTTTCTTCCGCCCGCTCGCTGGAGCGTTAACCATTCATCATCACCGCGGACCCGGTATCGGTAGGGCAAACTACCGTAACCAACACTTTGTCTGGTGGTACCCTGCCGACTCCTACCCCCATTGCTTTGCCCCAACCTGTGGTTTCCTATGGTTCGGTATGGTCTTTGAGCCCCCCCAATGCCCCACCAGAACATGATTTCGTCCTCGCTGAACGGCTTCTTCTCCGCCTGCCGCCGCTGGATGGTCGCCGCCAGGTCGCCGCCGCCCGCGTACTCCATCACGATGTTCAGCACGCCGCCCTGGGGAAGGGGGGGGGAGGGAGGGGGGGGGATGTGGGTGGGGTGGGCAGGAGAAGGAGCTCCTAGGGAGGGCTGGGCGAATCCCCGCTACCGGCGCAGTTGGTGTATAGGACAGGGTGTGTGTGGGGGGAGGAGGGGGGCTGCAGAGGCAGGGCGTCTGAATGACATGGGCTGCCTCTCACGCCTTCAGAGCACCCTTCACATGGAGGGAAGTAGCTGGTATGGAGTCCTCACGAATGCTGCCTGCAAAGCCCAACTCGACAAACATGGCATGGCCACACCGCTGCTGCCCTAGGTATCGTCCTCCGTGCAAGACGCGTATACTGCTCTCATCAGGTGGGCAGACCGCGTGAGGGGCAGCTAAAGCCGCACCTCAAGCAAGCATTCATAGTAGTGCACGATGTTGACATGGCTAAACTGCGCCAGCACCTTGGCCTCCGTGAGCGTGTCCTGCACAGGGATGCTTTTTGTTTGTTGCGGTAAAGGTTGCTGCCGCGGGTGCTGCTGGTCAAAGGGGGGTAAGAGGCTAGAAGGGTGTTGCATGGTTAGAATTACACACATGCTTGGCCTACGGCGTGAAGTTCCAACCTCCACCCTCACCATGCGTGCTTTCTCGTCCATTTCGAACAATCGTATTTGCTTAACCACGACTTGTAAGCCATCCTCAATCCTTACAGCGCGAACTGCACGACCGTAGGAACCGCAACCTATCTCTTCCCCCAAGGTATATCGCTCAGCTACAGGCTGTTCGCTTATATTTAATTTTGGATCTGCCGCTGCCACGAGCTCCTTTATGCCCGCGTCCGCAGAAGAACCCCATTGCAGAGACATGATCCCCTTGCACCCTTGCAGACTACATGCGGCGTAATCCTTGCCACCAAAGCGCCAAAACCTTTCCTTAGAGATAAGAGTTCGTTTCATACCAGAAAGGTGCTGCTGACATGCCTCGGGGTACGGCCCTGCCGTACTGCACTACTGGCTAGACGGGCGTGTTCATACTTCATGAGCATCAAAATTCTTAATAGCATCGCTCCATTAACCTCTAACGCGTGGCCTCTTCCAACATAGAGGCCTCACCGCGTTTAGTAACTTAGTTAAACAAGAAGAGGACAACCCCATCCTCAAGCTTTGCCCTTTCTTCCCACCACATAGTAGGCACGCTTCCCCTCGGCAGTGCTTAGAAGGCCGTTCCGTCACCCTCAACAGCGTTTCTCCCTAAAAAGTACATTTGCTTCTTTCACATTCGTCGGTTACGTGGAACACGCGTCACAGCATTCTTCTCCTGGAGTAGTGTAACTTGAAGAGTTCCAACTTTAACGGGCTTCGACTGGCAAGCGTTTAAGGAGCAAAACATAGCATGGCCGCAGCGACTCCACGTTCGGGTTCATACCCGGCCCCGGTTGTCCTTGCGCTGTTGCTTTTTCTTTGCCGTCTCGCTGGTAGGTTGCGAGGGTAAGGAAGCATCTAACCATATAAGCTATGGGCGGCTCAATGTACAGTAACTCTCTTTCGGTTTGTTGCGCAGGCGCTGACAATTCTACGGCGCAAGAGACGGCATATAGTTGCCGTGATGGATGTCCCAAGACATTCGAGCCCGTCTGCGGTGCCGATGGGCAGACATACGGAAACCCCTGCTTGGCGACATGCCAAGGAGTGAAGTTCATCGACCACAACCCTTGCCCAGGTGTGCAAACCTATGGGAAACGAACACATGGCTAAGAAGTCAGGGCAAACGGGCGTCTTGTCTTGGGAGCCCGGGACCCCGCAGTGACGTGACACATGTCCATTCTCCCTTCGTCTTGCCCTCGTCCCTTAACTCTTCCACCAGCGTGCGTTACGCACACCAACACCTCCCCGTCCCGCCATACCCTCAAACTTGTAATCCACGCATCACCCCACTAGTCAATATCAACTTTTGTTGTCTTGTCGTAATGTCCCGCAGGCGAGCCCATCCTCCACCACACCAACGCACACATCGTTGCTGGCTCGGAGGAGGGCTCCCCTATCCTTACCCCTCACCACATTCACGCCTTCCGCCACGAAGGCTACCGCTACACCGGACAGATGACATTCTCGAGCGAGATGTCGGCCAAGATGCCGCACAACAACAACGGCAGGAACCAGCAAGCAACAACTCAGCAGCAAGCCGCACGTGCCGTACGCATCACTCGCGATGGTCACGTGTACGTTGCTAACATGGACGAATCCGTTCAAAAGGTGATTGACGCCCTAATTTCGAGCCAAGCTGGCGGTAACGACCAGGGCGCGTCAGGCTCGCAGCAGGCACTACTGAACAACTTGCGCCAATGGCGGGAGTATCGCCCGGCAGCTGCCAGCGGCCGCGGCAATGGCAAGTGGGCGAAGCACGCTTCCCTGTCAAACGTCCGGCCGGGGGAGCACACCTTGCAACCGGAGCTGGACGGTGCTTCTGGCGCCACGCAAGCTCGGCCACAAGCCACCACGGCCACGACCACCACCACCACCGCTACCTCAAAGCCAAGCAGCAGCAGCAGCAGCAGCGGTGGTGGTTCCTCGACGAGTGCCCGGGGGCAGCAGCAGGGCCCCAGTGCAGGAAAGCAGTCTTGGGGACTGGGCAGGTGGCGACGACAGGCGCGGCAGGTCGGCGCCGAGGCGGCTGCCGCTCCTGTGGAGCACCGCCAGGCGCGCCGCTCGCTGGGGATCTTTGATACGGTGGGTTGGGACTGTTAATGGTTCCCTAATTTGTGTAATGTTGTGGGCCGTCGGTTGGGTTACTGCTGGGAATCATGTGGCTGGCTGCATCGCCTACACGGGCTGCATGAAACCTCAGTGATATGGGCTGGATTTGTTTGTCCGGTCTGCTTACTTCACTGCTCCGGAGGCCAAAAGCTCATCCGTCCTAGTACAACGGCCCATCCCCCTCCTGCCCGCTGCCCCCGCTGCCCCTCAGGACGACCGAGTGGACTGTCCGCGCACCCCAACCTACCCCTTCACCGCCATGGGTCAGATCAACGTGCGCGACAAGACGGGCAACTACGTGTGCAGCGGCACGCTGGTGGGGCCCGATGTGGTGCTCACGGCGGCGCACTGCGTCTTCAACCGCAACGCGCAGGTAGATGTGTGCTGCTTGGTTGATGCTGTCAATGCTTTGCTAGTTTGTCGTCTTTAGTCCGATAGAGTCACTAGGTTTCCTTGCCTCACCCTGTGCACCCCCCTTTGGTCCACACGACAACAAGAGCTGTTGCCTTACCCGGGTTGTCTGCACCCTCACCGTCCCCTCCGTCAGGCTTTCTACGACAACCTGGACTTTGCCCCCGGCCGGTACCGCACCCTGGACGGTCAAGTGGTCAACCCCTTTGGCGTGGTGCCCTGGAACTACGTCACCGTCTACCAGAGCTACTCGACTGCGAGCACCCCCGACCCCAACACGTGAGTGCACTGTGATACTGGGGGCCACTGCCTGCTGGACGGTTTTGCGCATGTCGTTATCGCCCTTGCCCCTTGGGGGTGAGTGAGGCGAGGGCCGTTCCAACCGTCCAACAGTACAGCAGTCGCTCAGCGTGCGCCCTGCCTGCTCGTCCACCGCGGTCGTTGCTTCCTTTCACACGTCCAAAACCGCCCTTGCACGCCGTGTCGCAATTTAAAGCAATCCCTCCCTCCCCCTCCCCCTCTCCCCTCCCCCATGCCCGCTCCACAGTGTCGACATTGCCGTCATCAAGCTCTCCCAGCGCGTGGGCACCACTGCCGGCTGGATGGGCGTGCTGGAGCCCTGCACCGCCTCGGCGCCCTCGCGCTACGTCGCCCTCACCGCCGGGTACCCCTCGGACCAGCTGGCGGGCACCTGCCTGACCACCCAGTGTGTCGTGGTGCAGGACCCCTGCACGGACGGCTACCTGTACCACAAGTGCGACACGGCGTCGGGGCAGAGCGGCTCCCCCATGTACATGATGGCCATGACGGCGGCGCACAAGATGGGGCCGTTTGTGCGGGCCGTGCACAACATTGAGTGGGTGCAGGAGCTGCCCAACGGCTCGACGGTTAGCTACATCAACAGCGCTGTGAGCATCACGCCGGATCACTACCGCTCTATCCTGGTAGGTGTGGTGGAGGGTGGGGCGGGTTGGGGACAGGCGAAATGGGCTGATGTGTTTTTAGCGTGGGCTGCGATGCTCTTGTGAACACAGGTTAGGGAGGGCTCGGGCACGTTGCAAAAATGCACTGTTGAGCTATTCTGTCTGGCTTGTCGTTGACAGGACGCCCCTGCTGTACCGTCCCGCTGCCTTTGTCTCGTAGGCATGGATTGCCCCTTCGTTCAACACCACGAGCTCTAGTACCGACCTGTCCACACCCATGGGCCCTGCGTCGCCTCCCAAGGCTTCCTAGCCTCTTCCTGTGGACATCTAGGATTAGTCTCATAATGAATTGGTGTTGTTGTGGCGTTGGCAATTTTGAAACGCGCACTTGGGGCATGCACACCAACACATGCAGCATTAGAGGATGGCATCATATTTTTTTTGTCATGAACTCCTCCGCACACATTTCCTCCTTCGTCCCACCTTTACATGCCCCAAGTGTGCTTGTACAGCACATGCCGGACTAGCATAATGAGCGAAGTGGTTTATTTAATGTGATGCTGGTGATTAAGGCTGCATTGATAGCTCGAGCGGTTGAGGGGTTTCCTGCTGCTGCGGATGTTGCCTGTTTCGGACTGGCAAGGTTCCGCAGGCTTACAAGCAGGCAAGTGTACAGAGGGGCTGACGTGTTCATGTTGTTGGTCTTGCGCGGAATACGCGGTGCAGGCGATGCATGTACGGCAGCTGTTGTGCGTGTAGGATGTGAAGGTTGGTCCGGTAGTGGCGGTTGGTTAGGTATGGGCCTGACGCGCCAGAAAACAGCACATACAGCAATGGTGCATGGTTCCATGACGTGATGGTTACGTGTGGGCAGTGAGTGGTTTGCTGGAACTGTCTTATGTTTGCTTGCGGATGCAGTATATGCCTTGCGATGTCCGCGTGACCATTTGGTTGGGTTGTGGCACAGGTGATGGTGTATGTTGATGCAGTGATTGCGTAAAATTCATGTATCTTTGACTCGTACAATGGGCTCTTGTTTCTACACTGCTATCTATCGGGCTGACGCTTGCGCAGGCTGGCGGGCACGGGAGGGTGCGGCGATTTTGCTGCTAATTCCCTGGAGCACGCAGAGTCTGCTGACGTGCGTCACAAGTAGCCACGAGGACTTCGAGAGTCGATTTATTCTTCCTACGTTGGGTTACTCCTGAGCATGCGTATGCTTGTGCATATGGCTGTAGTCGTAGTTTGTTGCGGTAGGTTGCCAACATTATGCACCCACTGGGGGAGCACAGCGGGCATGGCGCCACACGGGGCAAAGGCGCCACATAACCTGCTGCTGCAAACTCCTGGGACGGTGCTGTGTTAGGTTGGCAGGTAGCCGGCATCACAAGCTGATTAGGCAGAGTGTCGTTAGTAATGTGCTGGATGATCTAAGTCACGGCGGAAAGCCACGATGTGCCTTACATGACGAACACAATAGAAGAACGCTGCGTTGTTTGACGTGGGGGGTTGTTTTCCCGGTCAGGCAACAACTCTTTCCTCGTAAGCGAGGCAGACTTAAGATGTAAGTTATAGGCACGGACCCACCCTTGCCCTGCCGTTTCGCACATCTGTGTTGAGCGGAAACAAGAGCAAAACAGTTGGGATAGGTTCGCATGTGAACCGCAAGTACAAGCAAAACAAAGGCAAAACAGAGGTAATCAAACCTGAACTGAATCTGTGTGTATTCGGACGATCCCTTTACCCAGGGGTTTGCAGGCGTGTGCGACAGTCTAGTGTGTTTCTGTTGCCCTTTATCCATGATGCTCATGTCACGCTGCGCATGCTACACCGGTTCCCGCAGCTACATGGGTGCAGTGGCTGTCGTTATAGTGCCAGTACACCCAGAGAGCACATCCCGGCTGTGATCAGTTGGGCCCTGTCTTCCACCGCAACCGCAATCCTGAATTGCAGAACGGACTGCCCCCACACATGCGGAGATGGGAAGCGCATGCTGCACCAGCAACACGGCTGGCTGCACCAGCTGTGCCTTTCCTGGCACCAACCCTGGCCAGGTCCGTCTCAGTTCAGTGGCCGGTTCGCCTAATTATCAGATCACCACTCCTGGCGTCGGAAATGAGCAATTTGAACATGAGCAGGGGATGAAGGAAAGCGTGAGGGCATATTACATGCACATGTGGCACGTCAAAGAAGCACGTAGGAGCAGATAACGCGCGCTCCCGTAAAGAGCTCACGCCCAATGCATCTTAAATGACATGCGTAGGCTCATCACACCTGCCAAGAGCAACAATACAGAGTTTCCAGCGCTCCAGGACACCAAAACTGTAGCCCAATGCTTTACACCGGTAGCTTTGGGGGCCCTGGAATGGGGGGCTAACCGGAGCCGGGGCCCCTGCCGCACAAAGGGCGATGTGGCATAGGCTTGCCCCTGCCCCCAGGGTACAGAGTGTTGCCACGATGCGGAGGCATCGCAAGGACGCACCGCAACAAGCACACGTGTGCGGGTAGCCACTGCTGCATGTTGGGAACGACAACACCCCAGAGCACCACTCCTATTGGGTGCTGCACGGCTGTGGACGTACCGGCACCCAGGGATACGACATACCAGGCTACACCTGCTACAGAGTCCACAAGACACCACCCGCCAGCCCTGGAAGCTTGCGATAAGCAAGCAGGACATGCCCCGCGCGAAACGCAACAAACCATGTCGCACGCGCCCTCCGCCTCCCCATCCCGTTGTCCGGAGAGGGGCCAGGAATGCAGTTGGCGGTAAGCATATATTATGTCACCCTTGTGTGTGGGCTGTACCGCCGATTCCATAGCATAATGGTAGCCACAACCACAGTCAAGACTCCAAGCAAACCAAGACGGGCCCATTCAGGCAAGCTACACTTAGCTATTTCAACTACAACCAGAAAGAAAGCACCACGGCAATATGCCAAAATAATTGTGAAAGCAATACCCTGGGGCGCAAGGCCCTACTCCACGCTACATTGCAAGAGCAGGAAAAACGACAACAACCCTAGTTGATACAAAGCTGTACAAGCAACGCTGCCTAGACGTGAAACATATGCATACATCACAGCCCCCCCAAGTACCCGCACCAGCTGGCCAACCAACCCCACCGCCACATGTGCGCACACCGCTCCCTCGGCATTGCCAGACACCACACACCACCCCCTGCCTAACCATCTCCTGCATCTGCAAGCGCGTTTTCAGACTCTCCCTCATCCTTCATCCCTCATCCCTACAACTAGTACACTCCAACCACCACCCATGCGGCGCACGTTGTATGGGATACATGCCGGTTATATATGCCGGTAGCATGCACTGCACACCATAGCAGCCCGCTCGCGACCAGTCTTACCGGTACACCCTACAGCAGCAGCTTGAGCACCTCGTAGCTCGTCACCACCACCGCACACGCCGGCGCCGTCCTGGCTGCCCGCGGCCCCCAGCCTCGGAACAGCCCCGCCGCCCCCTCCTCCGCCACCACCCGTCGCGCCACCTCCACCCCCGTCACCCCGCTGCGCACATCGCCCACCTGCAGCCGCGTCTTCACCACGTCAAAGGGAGTGGTGATGACGGCGGCCAGGGCCCCCGCCGTGCTGCCCGCGATGAGGTTGGCGGCCAGCACGGCTCGACCCGAGGGGGGGTGCTGCTGGGGCTGGTGGTGCTGCTGCTGGTGCATGTGATGGGGCTGGTGTTGTTGCTGTCCTGGAGGAGGGGCATGATGCTGGTTCTGCTGGTGTTGTTGCTGCTGCTGAGATAGGTGCGGGGTGGTGTCTTGCTGCTGCTGGTGCTGGTGGGGGCTGCTGGGACTGTGCGTCGGTGTCAGTTGCTGCTGCTGCTGCTGCTGATCTAACGAGGGTGGGAAGTCCGGCGCCCCCGCTGCCGCCCGGCCCCACTGCGCCAGCAGACCGCCCCTCAGCGGCTCCACTAGCGCCCAGTAGAGGGCGGAGAAGGGCACATCGCGGGCTAGCGTAGCGCCCACCCCCGTCCACAGCCGCGGCAACCCTCGCAGCAACCCTGCCGTACTCCCACCTCCTGTTGTACCATGTACTGCTGCTGCTGGTGTCGCTGCTGCTGCTGTTGATGGTGATGCCGCCGCTGATGCACTGCCTGCTGCTGCTGCTGTTGCTGCTGCTGCTGCTGTTGCTGGCCCGACCGTTGGCCTTCCACCGGTAACACAAGCACACTGCAACGTCGAGGGTGCCGCTGCTCCTGCTGCCGGTGCCGGCAGCGCCCGTCCTCCTGACCCCATCACACTCCCTGATCTACTACAGCCAACGACCGAGGCGCCAGCGCTGGCAGCAGCAGCAGCGGCAGCAACGCTTGCCGGTACGGCACCGGCACTAGCTGCAGTTGCCGCCGCTGGCGCCGCCGCAGCGGTCTCCCGCAACGTCTCCCGCAACGCCGCCCAGGCGGTTCGTGAGCCCCCTGCGCTGCCCTGCTGCCGGGTCCGCACCAGCTCCAGAGGGCCCACCAGGAGCACCGCCAGGGTACGAGCAGCGGATCCAGCCACCGCGGGGGCGTAGTACGGCTCCATGAGGGCTGTCGTACGTTGCAGGAGGTGGTCGTACAGCGGCATGTAGACACCCACCATGGGTATGCTGGCGAGGATGGCGGTGTCGGTACCACGCCACAACGCCCACACGCCCTCCTGCACGGCGCAAGAGCGTTCGAGTTACCCCATGACAGGTTCATGTTACCTCACAACAGGCCTCAAACAAGCACAGCATGTCTCCTACTAGTTGTGCACTATGACAGTGGGGTGTAACAAGCGATGGTAGTGGGAACTTGCAGGCTTTCGTTGGCAGGCATGCGTGTGTCCATTGGCTCCAGGACCCGCGAACTCACCTTGCGTAGGATGTCTCGTAGCACTCCTCGAGCTGTTGGGGGGCGGTAGGGGCTGCGGTTGAGACACCTCTCCGGGGTGCCCAGGCTGCCGGGACCTAGGTCCGCAACCTTGAGAGCGCATGCACATGATGACATGGGCACCCGCCCCTGCAGCAGCCGGTGCAGCTGCGAGGCAGCGTCGCCGTGGTGTAGCGAGCTACAAGTCCCGATGGCTGTGGTGCAGCCGGTGGCTGGGATGGCTGGAAGCTTTGTTGACTGGCAGTCGGATACGGATGGCGGCCGCACCCATCTGGCTGGATACCTGCCAGAGACGCTGGCATGAAGGCACCGGCAACATAGTAATCAATTAGAGAGGCGGTGAGAGGCGTAACATGCAAGTATGCACTGCAGCTGCAACTGCGGCAGGGGGTCGCTCTCCGAAATACTATCTCGCGACAGCTTGTGGAACTCACCGGGTGAGTAAGCAGCTGGGTAGGGGACGGTCCACAACCATAGAAGAAGCCTGAACACGTGTCTGTGAAAGGGAACTCACCGTAAGATGCTTACCGGTCGGAAAACGAATGGTTACTACGTGCCATACCTTAATTACATCTAGAGGATTCACTAGCAACGCCGATACAACTGAAGCGCCAGCTGCAGCTAAGATTCTATGGCTCAGTTCTGGCTGAGGGCCCTCGGCCGCCGCTGGTACTTTGCTCATGTTGGCTTACTGTAACCGGATGCACTCGGTTAATTGCATTCGCTTGCCCTGCTTGAAACCTCAATCATTAGTGTATAGTCTTATGTCACGTATTCTCTATAACTGCTTGGCTTGGAAGTGACTCTTGCCGGATGGAAGGCTCTACGCCGTTCGCCGTATGCATCATCATGTTCAACCGTCTTGTCAGCCCGGAAACAGACTAAAGCATATATATGCAGCGCGTACATAGACATAACCTAAGAGTTTACCCAACTGGGCCGGCACAGCAGCACAACATCTCTACCAACTAGGCCGTCGCGGCAGACTCAGCCGCGACGGCAATAGGGATCACCCATCTGTTAGGAATATCTGAGACGATATGCGTCGATCTCAGGCCCTGCTGAGCAGGGTGTGGTTGCAACAGAGTGCGCAAGCATGGAGCCAAGTCCTGCCATCTACCCAACTCAGCGCCGTCCATGCCTCAGCCCATACTCGCTCCGCAACTTCTCAAACCAGCCAAAGATGCATCCTTCCAGCGACACAGCTGATCCGCGCCCTGGCGCAAGCCCATCTTCTCTTGCCGACTTCACCAATTCCCTCGGACATCCACGGCGTCGCGTCCTCGCCTTTCGCCGCGCTAACCTGCCGGCAGCTTCACAGCAGCGCTGCTGCTCAGGCGGAGGACGGAGCTGATCGGGCGGCAGCGCTGCGACGGCTTGCGGCAGCTCGCACTCGGCGGCAGCGCAGTGTTGCTGCTGCGGAGGTAGCTCGGGAGCGCTCAGCCGCTTCTGAGGAGGGGGACCTGCAGCAGCAGCAGCAGGCTGCGCAGGGGGGAGATGCGTTGGCCCCCGCTGCGCCTACCGCGATGATAACGCCGGTGGAGGGCAAGGCGACTGAGGCTCAGGTGCGTGTTCGTGCATGCGCCGTCGGCTCGTCATGTGTGGTTTTGCTTGAGCTCCAGGCGCCAAAGAAGTGTTAGGCGGGCTGTTGCCGACTTACAAGTTGTGGCTTTTCTCCAAGAGCCTGTCACGATGCTTCTCGTGGGGTGTGCACTTTCCCTGACCTCCCTGACCGCCGGCTTAATTGCTCCTCCTCCTCTTCCCGGTACTCTTCTTTTCCCCCTCCTCCCTCCCCCAGCTGGCGGCGGCTCTGGACCACGCGGCCCTCATCGTCACACGACCCATCGAGTGGTGAGTTGGGGGGCGCTGGAGGGCGGGTGGGGGCCTTCTGCCTGGATCTGAAGCAGCAGCAGCAGCAGCAGGTGTCCGGATGAGTGCATCCCTCACCGCATGTGGCGCCCCGATGCGCGGTATAGGTAACCCCATCGCATGGAACGGCGCCCGCCCCGTCTCCGCCTCCCACACCCGCTCTGCAGCAGCTTTCCCACTCCCCACTCCCCCCCCCCCTCCCCCCCTCCCCCTCCAGGGGCACCGTCATCTTCGGCTACGAGCAGGCTAACAAGTACACGGTGTACGACGAGGCGGGGCGGCTGGTGGCGCTGGTGGCGGAGGACTGGGGCGGCTGGGGCAAGGAGGTGGGGCGGCAGCTGCTCAGGCAGCGCCGCTCCTTCACGGCTACTGTGTTTAGCGCGGATGGTAGGAGGAGGAGGGGGCGAAGGTGGACGGAAGGAATGGGCGGGTCCTCTGCATGCGGCGGGAAGCTCTGAGAGGAGGGATTGGCGTTGTTTGGTGTTGAGGTGAAAGACCGCGCGGTTGCCTAGATAAACCCACCCAGGGGTACCCAGTACCGGTGCAGCTGCCAAGCCGCCTGCAGACATAGGTTAGCTAATCCCCCCTGCCCCCTCCCACTCCCCCCCCTCTCCCCCCGCCCCCAGGCTCCCAGGTGTTGTTCCGGCTGCGGCGCCCCGCCTACCTGGTGTCGTCCACCATGTTCGTGGAGGACGGGGAGGGCGCCCCGATAGGCGAGATCCACCAGCGCTGGCACCTCATGAAGCGCAACTACGACCTATACATGGGCAAGAGCCAGTTCGCAGCCATCTCGGGTAGGGGTGGGACGTGGGAGGGAAGGGGGAGAGGGGGCCATGTGCCATGCGTGTCGTCAGGCCTGCCACGTCTGGCACGCCTGTACTCCCACCCCAGCAACGCACCTCTGTGTTTGTTTGTGCTCTTTTGCCGTCCTGTCCTAACGAAGTGGCGCGTCACCTGGGATCCCCTCTATCTGTCGTTTCTTTACTGCGAGCTATCTTCTTCACCTGCCTGCTTGTTTGAACTCGGGTGCTCCCTCCCCCCCCCTCCCTCTCCCCCTCCCCCCCTTCCTTCCCCTCCCTCCCTCCCCCCCCCAGGCAACTTCCTGGCCTGGGAGTTCCAGCTGCAGGACGCCTCGGGCGCCACTCTGGCGCTGGTGGACCGCAACTTCCAGGGCTTTGCCAAGGAGATTTTCACGGACGCGGGAAAGTACGTGGTGCACTTCGGGGGGAACCAGCTGCAGCAGCAGCAGCAGCAGCAGGCCGAGCAGCAGCCGCAGCAGCCGCAGCTGCAGCAGGTTGCTGGGGGAACGGGGGCGGCAGCAGCGCCTCACCAACCGGAGCAGCAGCAGCAGCAGCAGGAGGCGGCTCCAGGGGCAGGTCCGGCAGCTCCGGCAGCGGGCGCTGCTGCTGCGGCCACCCCCGCCGCTACCCCCGCTGCTGCCACCCCCGCTGCGGGAAGCCCTGGTGCTCCCCCCTCGGTCACTCCCATGGCGGTGGCGCGAACGGATGTGCCGGTCATCTCCACGTCAGGGGGCAACCAACTGGTAAGAAGAGGGAGCAGGCGGGGAGGAGCATCGCCACGAAAGCTCTTGCTGCCTTCTTACCCCACGTACCCCTCTCCTCACCCTCTCCTCACTCCCCCCAACCCCGCTATGGATCCAGCTTAATGGGGAATGTGTATCCTTATTAATCCCCACCCCCACCTCCCTCCCTGCCCTCCAGGTTGTCGCCCGGCCGCTGGCCCTCCCCGAGCGCATGGTGGCCCTAGCCTGCGCACTAACCATCGACTACGACTACTTCAGCCAGCACAGCCGGCACGGGGGCGGGCTGGTGCCGCCGGTGGTGGTGCCCGTACCCATGCCAGCACCGGTGCCGGGGGAGGGGGAGGGGGCGCCCGGGGGAGGAGCACCCGTGCCGGGTGTGGAGGGGGGGAGCGGGGGGCTGAGGGATGATCTGCCGGGGGCGGGGGCGGCGGGAGCGGCGTCTGGGACGCTGGGAGGCGGTGGGGGAGTGGGAGAGGCCGGGGCGGGGAGTGGAGGATTTGGTGGGGCAGGGGCGGGAGCAGGTGGGGGAGCGGTGGGTGGGGAGGGGGCGCGGTGGGGGGATGATGGGTTTGATGCTGGGCGGGCGTGGGGGCAGCCGGGGAGTGGGTCGGGTGGTGGGGGAGATGATGGGGAGTTGAAGTGGGATTTGGGCGGGGGCGGTGGGGATGCGGGAGAGGAGGGGGGTGCTGGAGGAGTGGTGAAGGGGCTGCTGGGATGGGTGTGGGCGGTGCTGGGAGGAGGCGAGTGAGGTTAGAGCTGCCGTTCATGCGCGTCTCTTTAAAGGCTATGCCGTACTGAAATGTAATCGTCTCTATGTCGGACTTTCATATCAACTACAAGTAATTTTAACGCAAAGAGTACTATTGGAATTGCATCCGGTAAGCAGCAAATCGACTTTAGCAAGACCGGATGTCCGCTCTCACAGCCCAGCGCGTCGGTACCTCGCGGGTCTTGCAGCCCCAATTACGCTTCAGTCACCATAAATTACCTGAGCTAAGGCGCCGTAACGTATGCGTCCATGTGTCGTTGCACGATGCGCCACAAGACGTTCCGAGCTCCGCCCCAGCGCCTGTGTCTGGCGAGGAAGCCAAAAAGCGCAACGAAGTTTCTCTTGCACGCATCCTAAGCAATTTTGCTGACGCCAAGGCGCAAGGCCTTTTGCGAGAGGCGGAAGAGGAGGACGAGGATGAGGTGCAAGGCAACGAGGGCGAGGACTGGGTCTGGTGGCGCTCTGACGACCAAACGGTGACTAGCCCTACAGCCAATAGCAGTGGTTCTGCAGCGAATCAGTCCCAGAAATTCTTCCCGGAGCTGCTACTGCCTGCACAAAACGGACCTAGGCCGTGACCTAGGCCGAAAGTTGCGCAGGACTGGAGCTGTAATGCTGCCTTCTATACATGCATTTAAGCGGAGGAGCAGCCGTCAGTACCAAATCGCTGCTGCAGGGGCAACTGCAGCAGCTAGCCGTACTGACCAGGCGGTATGCGTGGAGGCACTGCACAGGTACAACGGTTTTCAGTTCGCGTCTACCAGCAGTCCTGTTCAACTGTCTTGTCAGCCCGGAAACAGACTTAAGCGTATATTTGCAGTGCGTACATAGACATAACCTAAGAGTTTACCCAACTGGGCCGGCACAGCAGCAACATCTCTACCAATTAAACCGTCGCGGCAGACTCAGCCGCGACGGCAATAAGGATCACCCGTCTGCTTAGCAAAACCTGAGACGACATGCGTCGATCCCAGGCCCTGCTGAGCAGGGTTTGGTTGCAGCAGAGTGCGCAAGCATGGAGCCATGTCCCGTCATCTACCCAACTTGGCGCCTTCCATGCCTCAGTCCATACTCGCTCCGCAAGTTGTCAAACCAGCCAAAGATGCATCCTTTCAGCGACACAGCTGATCCGCGCCCTGGCGCCGGCCCATCTTCTCTTGCCGACATTACCAACTTTCTCGGACATCCACGGCGTCACGTCCTCGCCTTTCGCCGCGCTAGCCTGCCGGCTGCTTCACAGCAGCGCTGCTGCTCAGGCGGAGGTAGCTCGGGAGCGCTCAGCCGCTTCTGAGGAGGGGGACCTGCAGCACCTGCAGCAGCAGCAGGCTGCGCAGGGGGGAGATGCGTTAGCACCCGCTGCGCCTACCGCGATGATAACGCCGGTGGAGGCCAAGGCGACTGAGGCGCAGGTGCGTGTTCGTGCATGCACCTTCAACTCGGCATGTGTGGTTTTTGCTTGAGCTCCAGGCGCCAAAGAAGTGTTAGGCGGGCTGTTGCCGACTTACAAGTTGATGTTTTTTCCGAGAGGCCGTCACGACATTTCTCGTGGGGTGTGTACCTTCAATGACCTCTCTAACCGCGGGTTTGATTGCTCCCCCTCCTCCTCCTCCCCCTCCTCCCTCCCCCAGCTGGCGGCGGCTCTGGACCACGCGGCCCTCATCGTCACACGACCCATCGAGTGGTGAGTTGGGGAGCGCTGGAGGGCGGGTGGGGGCCTTCTGCCTGGATCTGAAGCAGCAGCAGCAGCAGGTGTCCGGATGACCACCGCCCCGATGCGCGATATAGGTGACCCCATCGCATGGAACGGCGCCCGCCCCGTCTCCGCCTCCCACACCCGCTCTGCAGCAGCTTTCCCACTCCCCACTCCCCCCCCCTCCCCCCCTCCCCCTCCAGGGGCACCGTCATCTTCGGCTACGAGCAGGCTAACAAGTACACGGTGTACGACGAGGCGGGGCGGCTGGTGGCGCTGGTGGCGGAGGACTGGGGCGGCTGGGGCAAGGAGGTGGGGCGGCAGCTGCTCAGGCAGCGCCGCTCCTTCACAGCCACGGTGTTTAGCGCGGATGGTAGGAGGAGGGGGCGAAGGAGGAGGGGGTGGAGGGAGGGGGGGCGGGTTTTATGAATAGGGCGGGAAGCTCCGAGAGGAGGGATTGGGGTTTGGTGTCGGGGGAAAACGTGCGGGTGCCAAGGTCCACCTACCCAACGGTAACACCTTCCCAGTACCCGAACAACAGCAACCGAGCCGCCTGCACCACAACCCGCTTCTCCAACCCCCATCACTCCCCTCACTCCCCTCACACCCCTCCTCCCTACCCCTCCCACTCCCACTCCCCTCCCCCCCTCTCCCCCCGCCCCCAGGCTCCCAGGTGTTGTTCCGGCTGCGCCGCCCCGCCTACCTGGTGTCGTCCACCATGTTCGTGGAGGACGGGGAGGGCGCCCCGATAGGCGAGATCCACCAGCGCTGGCACCTCATGAAGCGCAACTACGACCTATACATGGGCAAGAGCCAGTTCGCAGCCATCTCGGGTAGGGGTGGGAGGGAAGGGGTGGGAGGGCCACGTGCCATGCGTGTCGTCACGCCTGTTCTCCCAGCTCAGCAACGCACCTCGTGTGTTGCCTTGTGCGTTCTCTCTGTCTTGACGACATTATGGCGCTCACCGCGGACACCCGCTACCTGCCGTTTTTCTGCGGTACTTGCGAGCCCTCTTCACCTGACTGCTCGCTTGGAACCTTCCCCCCCCCATCCATATGGGATTGGGACTTTAGTTGTTTGCATTTCTTATATACTTTTTCACCTCCCCCTCAGGCAGCTTCCTGACCTTCGAGTTCCAGCTGCAGGACGCCTCGGGCGCCACTCTGGCGCTTGTGGACCGCAACTTCCAGGGCTATGCCAAGGAGATTTTCACAGACGCGGGCAAGTACGTGGTGCACTTCGGGGGGCCCCAGCTGCAGGGGGCGGAGCAGGCGCAGGCCGAGCAGCTGCAGCAGCAGCCGCAGCTGCAGCAGGTTGCTGGGGGAACGGGGGCGGCAGCAGCGCCTCACCAATCGGAGCAGCAGCAGCAGCAGGCGGCTCCAGGGGCAGGTCCGGGGGCAGCGGCAGCGGGCGCTGCTGCTGCGGCCACCCCCGCTGCGGGCAGCCCCGCTGCTCCCCCCTCGGTCACTCCCATGGCGGTGGCGCGCACGGATCTGCCGGTCATCTCCACGTCATGGGGGAACCAGCTGGTGAGACGTGACAAGGGAGCAGGCGGGGAGGATTTAAAGCTCTTGCTGCTGCTGCTGCTGCTACGTTGCTGCCTTACTTCCCGGCCCTCTGCCCCCTCTCCTCACCCTCTCCCAGGACTCCCACCTCTCCTCACACCGCCCTTTTGCACTCATTATTCCTGTATTTTTACCCCCACCCCACCTCCCTCCCTGCCCTCTCCGCCAGGTTGTCGCCCGGCCCCTGGCCCTCCCCGAGCGCATGGTGGCCCTAGCCTGCGCACTCACCATTGACTACGACTACTTCAGCCAGCACAGCCGGCAGGGGGACGGGGTGGTGTGGTCGGAGGTGCTGCTGCCCATGCCGGGGGAGGGGGGCCCCGGGGGAGGAGCACCCGTGCCGGGTGTGGAGGGGGGGAGCGGGGGGCTGAGGGATGATCTGCCGGGGGCGGGGGCGGCGGGAGCGGCGTCTGGGACGCTGGAAGGTGGCGGGGGAGTGGGAGAGGCCGGGGCGGGGAGTGGTGGGTTCGGTGGGGCGGGGGCGGGAGCGGGAGCAGGAGGGGGAGCGCAGGGTGAGGAGGGGGTGCGGTGGGGGGACGATGGGTTTGATGCTGGGCGGGCGTGGGGGCAGCCGGGGAGTGGGTCGGGTGGTGGGGGAGATGATGGGGAGTTGAAGTGGGATTTGGGCGGGGGCGGTGGGGATGCGGGAGAGGAGGGGATTGTTGGAGGAGTGGTGAAGGGGCTGCTGGGATGGGTGTGGACGGTGCTGGAGTGAAGTTGGAGCTGCCGTTCATGCGCGTCTCTTTAAAGGCTATGCCGTACTGTATTGACTGTTGCTTTACCTTGTGGCATGCCCTGATGGGTGATGGGGATGTACCGATTGTAGTCTCCTGGTCGTAGGGTTGGCCCGCTACCATGGGGGCGTGTGGCAGGCTCACGTGCTGCGCGGATGCGCCATACCCCACATGCGGTACGAACGATGCACACAGGAAATTCCTTCATGTAACATTGTAACCGTCTATATGTCGAGATTTCATAATAATTATAAGTAAATTTAACGCAAAGAGTACTATCGGACTTGCGTGCGGTAAGCAGCAAATCGACTTCAGCAAGACCGGATGTCCGCTCTCACAGCCCAGCGCGTCGTCACCTCGCGGGTCTTGCAGCCCCAATTGCGCTTCAGTTGCCATAAATTACCTCTGCTGAGGCGCCGCAGCGTATGCGTCCATGTGTCGTTGCACGATGCGCCACAAGAAGCTCCGAACTCCGCCCCAGCACACGTGTCTAGCGAGGAAGCCAAAAAGCGCAACGAAGATTCTCTTGCTCGCATTTTAAACAATTTTGCTGACGCGAAGGCGCAAGGCCTTTTGCGAGAGGCGGAAGAGGAGGACGAGGATGAGGTGCAGGGCGACGAGGGCGAGGACTGGGTCTGGTGGCGCTCTGACGACCAAACGGCGACTAGCCCTACAGCCAATAGCAGTGAAGATTCTGCAGCAAAGCCTTCTCAGTAATCTTGCCGGGGGCTGCTACTGCCGGCACAAATATGACGGCCTCTACCGTGACCTAGGCCGAAAGTTGCGCAGGGCTGGAGCCGCCCTGTTGCCTTCTATTTAACGCAATCAAGCGGAGGAGCAGCCGTCGGTACCAGAGTGCAGTTGCAGGGACAACCGCAGCAGTTACCCATACTGAGTGAGTGGAGACACTGCGGATCGGGGCACTGCACAGGCATCAGCATGTTTTACAGTCCGCGTCTCCCAGCAGTCCTGAGCCACAAGCAGCCCTCTTCCAACCTCCGCCTTCCCCGGGCCTCGGTGACAGCAGAGAGTCGCTCCATAATTTGCTCGGCGCCACCACAGCCTGCCCCCTTCCACCACCTCCAAATGTACCGCATCCTGCAGTAAACACGGCTTTGCTCCATTTCCCACATCGTCCACCCGTCACGAATGCGTGACTCACCACTACACTCCACCTCGCTTCGCCTGACTATCCCCGCACTCCTCCTTACCTCGTCTCGCACCTCGGGTGGAGGTCAACGGCCTCAAGACACAACAAACCCACGATCACCACGGAGCAGCCCTCCTCCCAAGCAGGATTTTCATGCGGCAGCAACAGCAGCAGCAGTGCTGCAGGAGGTCCCGCCCAGCTGAATCATGACCCCCACCCGGGACGGTCCACCACCTCCTCCCCAGCTAGAGCCGAGTTGCTGCAGCGGCAGCAGCAATACGCGGCTGCTGGGGCCGTGTGCGGCGCCGTTATCCTGCTCTCTTTCCCCATCCTGCTGCTGCTGGCGGACCGCCTGGAAGCCTTCCGGACCAGCGAGCAAGTTGGCGGTGGGACGCCTCCTTTTGGTGCCGTACAGTGGCTGGGGCGCCAACATGGGTTGGGGCGGCGGCGGTGGCTGGGGCGTCAAGCCAAGCAGGGCAGCACACTTTACATGGAGGTCCCCCTCGCAGAGGGCCGCCTTGCAGGCAGGGGCCTGATGGCTCCAGGCTGCCTCCCACCAGCGCAACAAGCCCGCGCCTCGCCGCCCTGTCCCGCATGCTGCTGCCGTACATGCGGTGGTGCGCTGCGGCACCCGCTGCTGCTCTTCACATGCTGTGAGTGTGGTCGTACAGCTCCGCCTGGTAGCCGCGCCTGGGGGTGGGAGGGGGAGGGAGAGAGGGAGGGAGAGAGGGAGGTGGAGAGGGAGGGGGCGTCAGGAAGGTTGTGGAGGATTGGGCTGGCGGCAGACTATGCGGTGGAAGGCAGGCTGCGCGGTAGGAGGGGAGAGTGATCGTTGCATACGAGCCGCGGTAAGCGGGGCTGCGGCAGGGCTGGGGGTAGCTAACCCGTGTGTGTGTTTGGTGGAGGAGATGGAATGCGGTGCCGCACGGCGATGGGACGGGTAATAGTACGGCAATGCTGCCACTCCCTCCCGCCCCTCCATGCATAAGCCTCCTCAGTCCTCACCACACGGCTCGGAACTCCTCCCGCGCGGAGGCGATCTTGGCCTTCAGGTTGGGCAGCCGGAAGGTGGCGTGCAGCAGCGGCAGACCTAGACCTGCACGGGCGGGCAGGGGGAGGGGGGCGTATAGGACCTTGGTAACGGAGGATGTTTAACTAGCAAGGGATGGGGTCAGGATTCTCAGGAAGCTAGTTCTGAGATTGCGTAATTTGGTTTGGGGCAATAGCAGCGGTGTTGGTAGGACGGCTAGGACGTAGGTCCCGGTGTGTAATTGTTTTTCGGGATAAGGAACGCGAGCCGCTATAGAGCAACGGGACTTTGCCCGGCATGTTGGCATGTGTTTGCCAGCGCAGCTGTGTGACGTGACTCTTGTGGCGCTGTAACGCACGCGCGCCGTGCCCGTACATGTGCACCGCATGGTCTTAATGTGTGTTGTGTGGCATTTGGCCTACTAGGGGTGTAGTGCACCCGGGCCCTGTTTAGGCGACCCTAGTGACGGGTTCGGTCGGAAGGTGAAGACGGCGGTGGTTCGGCCGACATATCCCGCCTGAACGGGCCATAACTGTACGGCGACACACCGCTATCCAGCGGTATAATCCCAGTGGTATCTTCCCAGTTCCACCCTACCGGTAAACAACCGTCCCTCTGCCCTGTCAGCCCAGCCCCACTCAGCTGCACACACCACATCGCATCCAATCGATAGCTCTCGACTCGTGCGCCCCTTCCGTCCTGCCTCACCCACCCAACCCAGCAAGCCCCACCCCTAGACAACCGCTCGGCCAAGGCCCCAGCCCCCACGCGCCACCCAGCCCCCACCCCACCTCACCTGGGACTCTAGTTGTTTGCATTTATTACAGTTTATTGTTTATTATATTATTTTCCCCACCTCACCGCCCCCAGCCCTGTGCGGTAACCTCATCTACTACAACGGTCCAAACCCTACAACCCCTCTAACCCCGCCCCTCACCTAGCAGCAACGCCCACGCCAGTGTGACCAGCGCGCGGCTGCAGTACAGCAGCGCCAGCCCCCCGCCCGCCGCCAGCAGCACCACCAGCCCCCGCGGCAGCAGCAGGATGTACACCCGCTTGCGCTTGTGCATGCTGGGGTGGCGGGAGGGAGGGGACCGGAAAGAGGGGCAAGGGAAGAAGGGGGGTTTGAGGGAGGAGTGGCGAAGATAGGCCTTGGAAGGCCCGACGTAACACCTGCTGACACCCTTCAACACAAACCCTACCGCGCCCTACGCACCCTACAACACCATCGGTTCCAGCCTTTGCGCGCGCCCGCGCCACCAGCCGGGGGGCGCTCTTGCGAAGCCAGTGCAGCAGCGTGTCACTGCGTAGGGGAGGTAACAAGAGGTTATGGGCGGGGAAGGGGAAGGTACAAGGGTATGCTATGAGGTAGTTGCGGAAGAGGAAGAAGTCAAAGCGGCCGGGTTTTACAAAACATGTGTTAAAGGCGTCAGAAATTCAGCAATTGCTTAAGTCTATTGCCCCACGAAGCAACCTACGTGAAACGCTTACTTAAGAGAGATTGCGAAGGGGTCATTGAGGCAGCTGAAGCCCAGCCCCAACAGCAGCAGAGAAGCCAAGGCTAAGGGGTTGCGGAAGAAGCATATTACGAAGGATAAAATCAACACGACCAGGTAGTTCCTGCGGATCAAAGGCAGAAGCTTCTATGAATAACGGTCGACAGACAGCCAAGTAGCGCAGTGCATGAAAGTTTTAGGTCTCACGTCCGGTAGTAGTATAGGTTGTTCTTCAAGCGACCAGACAGGCTCCTCTTCGGCGGTGCTGCGCACAGAAAGAGACGGGATGTTGCCAAATGCTCTTCCCTTGCGTCTCGGATCGCATAAAAAAGCACGTACAGAAAGTTCGAAAGAACTCGGATAGAGGCCTTGGAGCGCTCCAGCTAACAGTCTTAAGGGCATCCACAAGTTCGTCAAAAGTTACGTTCTGCCAGTCCATGGCCTTAACGTCAAACCATGCGAGCTGTTTCCTTGGTTTTCTCCTATCCTATATTACTGACTTCTGTACATTTGCAATTGATGCTATGTGCAAGTGTAAGCTGAATGTAAGGCGTAGAGGAATTCGTAGCGTCGGCAGCTGGCTAATGTCGTACCGCCCGACTTGGCTCCTACGATAACCTGATCCCCACCCTCACACCACCACTCAGCATGCCTGCTTCCTCCCGTTTCGCCGCGTAATCTCATGACTTCCAGCAAGCCGCCTGCAGGTACTGTACGCACGTGGTGTCGTACCCTGCTCCCGTGCTGTCCTTTCCAGGTCCGCGCCATCAATCCGTAACCACCACACTCCCGATTGCAACAAGTTCACTGCCTGCGACATCTTAAACCATCCTCATCCAACGCCACACGGCAACCAATGCCACTGGCAACCCCCTCACACAACGCGTCCAACCTTTTCCTTCCCTTTTTCCATCACGCACCTCCCTCACCCACTCCTCCCAGGGTAACCCCATGACGCTTACACCCCTCCTCCTCCTCCTCCTCCTTCCTCACAACTGCGCTAGTCGAGCCGCCTCCTCCGAGTACATCTGCGGCTCCCCGCCCAGCAGCCCCAGCCACCCCATCGCATGCGACCCCACCGCACCAACGCCACCTCCTGCACTCCCCGCAACAGCAGCAGCAGCAACCGCAGCAGCCGTTGTACTACCCGCACCCGCACCCGCACCTCCTCCTAACCCAGCTGCCGCCGCCACCGCCGCCGCCAACGCTCCCAACCCCCCTCCCACCCCCACTCCCCCCGCACTCCCCGCCGCCCCCAGCACCATCAACCCCGCCAACACCTCCCCAAACACATCTCCAGCGCCCTCCACCGCACTCCCTGCCCCCGCAACCCCATTCCCCCCTCCCGGCACCATGCCCGACTTCTTAAGCAGCTGCAGCAGCAGCGGCACCTTCCTCGGCGGGTGCTCCACCACCGCCGCCTCCTCCGGCAGCCCCGCCAGCCGCTTGGCAGCCTGTACGGCAGCCCCCAGCCCGCCCAGCTCGTCCACCAGGCCTATGTCGTACGCCTGGCGACCCGTGTAGACGCGGCCCTTGGCGAGGGGGCGGATCTCGGACACGGGGCGGCCGCGACCCTGGGACACCTGGAGAGGGGTGGGGAGGTACGGCAAGAAGAGGAGGCGGGTTGGGGAGTGGGGGGTGGGGGGGTGGGGAGTGCAGCAGTCAGTCATGTGGTCACGGCTGCTGTTGCCGAGATTCCTACGGCGCCTCATCATGGCATGCCGAGGTAGCAGCAGAGGTAGCAGTGACAGCAGTAGCTGTCGTATACAGCTGTCGTACAGTTGTCGTATACCTTGTTGAGGAAGTCGTCGTACACGTGGTCCATCATGGCCTCCACCGCCGCCTGCTGCTCGGGGGAGAGGCCGGTGAAGGGGCTGAGCAGGTCGGCGTTGCGACCCACCTGCATGGAGTGGGGGGAGGGGGAGGGGGGAACATGTGGGGCTTCAGGGGCGGGGGCTACAAGCCGTGTTGGAAAGAGCCGGTGCTGGGCTCCAACTGCATCCCGCACAGCGCTGGCTCCCCTTTCCTTCCCCATACGCCCCAACCCCACCTGATGATGCAGCACATGGCGGTGTCAAACAGAAGTCAACTCCCTTTACCGCCCCGGCACCCCTTCCCTGTCTCCCCTCCTCCTCCCCCCTCCTCCTCCCCCCCCCCCTCGGCTCCCCCCCCCCCTTGTCTCACCGTCACCGCCTCGCTCCGCACGCCCACGTCCTCCAGCGCCCGCCCCACGTTCACCTTGCCCACCACCACCCCGATGCTGCCCGTCAGGCTGCCCGGCTGCGCCAACACGCGGTCGGCGGCGGTGGAGATGTAGTAGCCGCCGCTGGCCGCCACGTCACCCATGCTGGAGGGGGGGGAGGGGGAACAAAACAATGAGACACTGACGAGGCAACTGAGGGGAAGGGAGGGGGCGTCAGAGAGGAAGCGAACCAGGAGAGGAGGACGGAGGAAGAGGGAGAAGGGTGAGGAGGTGAGAAGGTGATGACCTCATGCGTAGGTGGGAGGGGCATGCCGTGTGTGTTCAGACTCCGTTTGGCTCAACTACCCGCCCCTCCCCACCTCCCTCCCCCTCCCCCCCCTACCTGACCACCACTGGCTTGCCCGCCCGCCTGAGCCTCATGACCTCGTGGTGGATGGTGTCGGAGGCGAGGGCGCTGCCGCCCGGGGAGTTGATGCGCAACACCACCGCACGGACTGGGGGGGGGGGGGCAGGCAGCAGAGGAGGAGGAGGAGGGAGGGAGGCCTGGTGGCTATCGTATATAGGCAGGGGCGGGAGAACAGCAGCCTGCCAGGATCACCCTGCACTGCCCCATACCACTCCTACCAACTCAAATAACACAGCAGCGGCAACCAAGCCCCCTCCCCCCCTCCCCTACCACCACCTCCCTCCCCCCCTCCCCTCCCCCGCCCCCCCCCTACCATCCGGGTCCTCCAGCAGTGTGTTCAGCTGCCCCACCAGCCGGCTGGCGTCGATAACCTGGCAGGGGGGGAGGGGGGAAGGGAGGGAGAGGGGGGTCTAAGGAGGGGTACGTGGGAGGAGGCAAGGAGGCGGAGCAGCGACCAGTCGGCCCCCCCAGGCGGGGGCTGTAGAGGGCAGGAAGCAGCAGCACGTGCTGCAGCGGCTGGAGAGCTGTGCAGCACCTCCCCTCTCCTACCGCCCGTCCCCCCCTTCACCATGGCGAAGTCTCGCCACACAACTCATCAGTTTTCTCTATTGACCGCCCTTCCTCCCCTCCCCTTCCTTCCCTCCCCTTCCTCCCCCTCCCCCCCAGAACTCACCTGTTGGTTGCTGGCCGGCCCCGGCGGCAGGGGTCCCTGCACGATGGTGCCGCTGCAGGTCACCACCGCCACCTTGGGGCGGCCGGAGGGGGGAGAGGAGGCGGAGGGGGAGGAGGCGGGGGAGGCGGATACACTGTCCTGTAAGGCGGGGGGAAGGGAAAGGGTCGAGGGAGGCGAAGGGATGGAGGTAGCTATCGTTAGACACAGAGCGTTGCTAGGTGGGGTGGCAGGGCAGCGACCACCAAAGGAGGAACACACTACCACCAACAACAGCGGTGGCAGCAGCGATCCCCCGCCCCCAACCCAGCCAGTGAGGGCCTCCGTGGTCCATGCGTGTCGCGGCCATGAGACCCCCCTGCCTCCACCTCACCTCCCCCCTCCCTCACCGGCAGTCTCCCCCGCAGCGCCAGCACCAGCCCTTCAAACACCGTCCCCCCCAGCCACCCCGCGCCGCCCTGCCCCGCCCCGCCCGCCTCCCGCGCCGCCCGGGACAGCTCGGTGAGCTGGATGTAGCGCTCGATGGACACACGGGGAAGGCGGGGGTCGTCCTGCAGGGGGGGCAGGTGGCATGGGGGCGAGGGGGGGAGGGGAGGTTCATGGGGGCGAGGGGGGGAAGGGGGGTGCATGGGGGCGAGGGGGGGAGGAGTGGGTGCATGGGGGCGAGGGGGGTAGGGTTTGAGGGGCGGGACTCGGGATGCAGGTACATGGTGCATACTAGCCTGCCGCTGGGTTGGGGGTCGGGACAGGCTTTTGTAGGTGCGTCACTGCTTCTGGGACCTCCCGGCGTCCCCTCACCTTCCTGCGCTTGTGTTTGCTCCCCTCCCGCTCCCTCTCCTCCTGCAGGCCCTTCTCGCTGATGGGGAACAACGCCTGCACCTCGTCCCTGGCACCGGAGGGGGGTGGGGGATTAGATAAACTGAGAGGGAGAAGAGATGAGGTTGGGGAACGGGGCGGGGAAGGGAGTCATAGATGGCGGGGACGGAGATGGTGGAGGCGGAGGATTAGGGGGGTTGCACACCCGCCCCCGCCCTCCACTTCCCCCACTCCTCCACTCCCCTTCTTCCACCCCCCCACCTGTACTTGACCCCGTCCAGCAGCCCCGCCTGCAGCCCCGCCGCGGGCAGCAGCGGCCCCGCCTCCACCGCCCCGCGCAGCACCGGCAGCGGCAGACCGCGGGAGGAGGACATGGCGGTCAGCATCTGGGAGGGGGAGGGTGGGGGGGTGCGAGGTAGGTCGGAGCGCAGTTGCCAGTTCAGTGAATCCCGCGGTGCTGGATGCACTGCTCCTGCTTCTGCTTCATAGCTGCTGTTTTGGCGGCGGAGCCTGCATGCATGGGGCCGCATGCCGCGAGCCAAGGACCCCCCCTTGCAGCTTACCCACCTAATCCCCAACCCAATCGAATCTTCTTCCCCCACCCCTCCACCCCCCACCCCCACCTGCTCCGCCATGTCCCCCAGCAGCGCCCCCAGGTTCTCCCGCTGCGGCTCCGTCATGCCCCGCTCCCGCAGCGTGTTGGCGGCCGACTTGTACTCCTCCCGCGCGAACACGTGCGGCTCCACACGCAGCCGCTCCAGCAGCCCCCGCGCGAAGAAGGCGCGGCTCTCCAGGCCCGTCAGACCCAGCATGCCTGGAGAGGGGAGGGGAGGGGAGGTGGGGAGGTGTGTGGTTAGGAGGTGTTGGTGCAGTGGCGGGAGTACGCCGCCTACCATCGCTCTGCCGTCCACTGCCCACATCCTGACACGGTGTCATCACCTGCCCAGCGGCCACATGCGCACCATGTCCGTACTACCATGGTCCAGATGCCCCCACCCCCTCATCCTCCCAAACCCCCTCCCAAACCCCCCTCCCCAAAACTCCCAACTCCCCCCACCCTCAGTCCTTATCCCTCAGTCCGTTAGTTATTTCCTCTTTACCCCGCCCCCCCACCCGATGGCTGCATGAACACCCGCTCGCAGGCGGTTGCCAGCAGGTAGGGCGCCATGCCGCTGCCGCCCGCCTCGCCGAAGCTGGCGGAGAAGGCGGCGGTGGGGGCGGGGCTGCCCCGGGCGGCGGCGGTGGCGGTGCGGAAGGACAGCAGCGCGTCTCGTAGCTCCTGAGGGGGGTCAAAGACCATACCAATCCATAGGAGACCACAAGTTAGGGCAAAGCAATGGGGGTAGGAGTTGGCAGGGGCCCCTCCTGGGAAGGGGGAGGAGGGGGTCAGATGTGGGGGTGCGGGTATGTGGTTCAGGGCAGGAGAGGGCAGGAGTGCTGTCCCCAATACCAGTACCGGTATGTAATCCAAGCAGGGGAGACACATGCAGCACCCCTCCCCCCCCAGCCCCTCCCCTCCTCCATTGTCAGCAACTTGTATCATTATCACACCACACTTTGGAATTTCTTTTTCCCCCACCTGCACCGTTGCCAGCCCCCCCAGCTGCTCCCTGCCCCCCAGCTGCGCCACCAGGCCCCGGCACCGCTCGTCGCCCGCAGCCTGGCGCAGCGCGGACACCACCTTGGGCAGCTCGAGCTGAGGTGGGGGGGAGAGGGGGGGAGGAGGAGGGGAGGGGGAGGAGGAGGGGGAAGGCAGGGTGGTCGAGAAGAGCAAGAAGCAAGAAGGTAGAGGAAGCAGGGGCAAAGCCTGCGGTGCCGTCCCAAGTGCGGCGGAGTCACGGCAGCTGAGCACTCCCGCCCACTCAACCCCCACCTGGTTCACGTCCCCCCTCAGCAGCGCCAGCGGCCCCCCGCTCAGGCAGTCCACCAGCCGCAGCCGCTCCAGCGGCAGCTCCAACACGAACTCGGAAGGCAGCTGGCGCTCAGCCTGGGGGGGGGGAGGACGTGGGTGAAGGGACCCGAGGGAGGTGGGGAGGTAAACCAAGGTAGCCCAACCGTCGTAGTAGGATTTAAGCGAGGAGTAAGAGCCTCTGGCATTAAGCATAACGCAATATGGACGTTTCGAGTGGCTGCAAGGCTGTAACAGCCCCGGCCGCTGAGGCCGCAAGCAAGCGTCCATTACGGCAACACCTTCCGAGCCATCACCCTTTGCAGGATACGTTCATCTCGATGCCGCAACGTGCAGAACTTAATTCGTTTACACTGACCTTCGCTGCTTGGTAGCGCGCAGCTACGACTGCCAGCGAACTCAGCACAGCGCCCGCTCCAACGAATGCCAGACCCCGACCCAGGCTTTTGCGGCCCGAGGCCAGGGCCGACGCCCATCTGTAATGAAACATGATAACATGAGCAATTAGAGCAATCAATCCGTCGGTATTCTGCGGGAAGAGTCGATGTCTTACGCATGGATGCCGAAGCATTACCCTCACCTACTCATGTCGCTGTTGGCCTAGGCAGCAATGCCGAGGAAATTCCTAACGCTTACAACACAATTCGAATGAACGTGCTGGTCGAATCTAGCTGATCGTTGCGAGAGTGTTGCGCTGTGCCGTACCTGCAGTCAACGTGGGCGTGTCAAGTCCATGCCAACCAGGAAACCTGAGCGGGTGCAGCTCGTCCCCTGCTACCACCTGGCGGTCTTGCGAAATGCAGGCACGATCATTACGCGCCATTTCCTTCCAATTCACAATTCGAGGTTGGCTAGGGTTGATTTGGTTAGCTGCAGCGGAGGCATGCAACGCGGCTGCGCTTTTAGGCCCCACTGCTACCCCGCCCCGCCATTACTCCGCACCTTGAAGCAACATGCACCTATACTAACAAGTGCAACATGCACCTACCGTATACTACCGGTAAACAAGGGGGTTCAGCGTCCACGCAACATGCACCTGTACTAAACGAGGGGGTTCGGCGGCCGGTGTGTTAGGTCAACAGGTGCCATGAAATCACAGGATCGCAACAACTGACATCTCAATGGTCATCGTACGTTCCTGTATTGTTCCTGTATTGAAGCAGGAGGCCCCCCTTTTTGAGCTTTGAGGAAGCTAACCCCCCTTGTCACACAGCTTATTGCTTAGCCGGAAACACGGCAAACGGCACGCTTGGGCAGCGCCCACGCCCAAAAGCACTGCTGCAGCAAGTACGGCACCTGGGAAACACCTGGGCGTCCATGCAGCTGTGCACAAGGAAAGGAACCACGCGTTGTCAGCGCTCTTGCTTGCTCCTGCAGGCGGCCCAGTACACCCAACACATCATGTACACCGTACTGTACTCCCCTTCACATGCACAGGACTAGTACACCGGTAATGTAAATACCAAATCGTACAAATCACGCCCCCTGCAGCAGGGGATGGCGACATCATGGATAACAGCACGCACATACACCACACGTTCACAGTATGCTCTTCCCAGCGGCCAGTTCTCTTCGGAATACGGTACACCAGCGGATCACGCGGGCCTGGGCCTCCTTGCGGTGGTGTAACCAGTTTCCTGGACATTGTTTTGAAGGTTTCAGAACAGCAAATGCCCTCCAAGGGCTCCTGCTGCTGCTGCTGCTGCCCACGCCTAATACCTGCAAAACCCTTCCCCCTTCCCGCTGCTCCCCTAGCACAATGATCACACCACCTAGATCCGATCACCCAGTCCCTGCAGGCCTGCAACCGCCCTCCTGCCAGCAGTTCCCCACCCGCCCCTGCAGCCCTGCTGCCGCCACCGCTGCCGCTGCTCCTACTATCGTAGCCTGCTAAACAGTGTATCGGTGCACTTGCACCCCCCTGCTGTTACGGCCGTCACTGCTCATCACCCGCAGCTGGCATAGCCGCTGCCGCTGCCGCTATCTCACAACCACCACCCTGCTTGTTAGTCGTGACCACCACCACCACCACCACCTGCTGCTGTCGCCAAGAGCCATGAGAGCAGCCAGCAGCACCTCCTCGCGGCCGCCTCCCCCCCCAGCTGCTCCATTGCCCAGCTGCACAGCACCACCACCCGCGCACAGCTGCTACCTGCTTCCGCTATTGCAGCCGCTGTTGCTGCGGGTGCGGGAGCAGGAGCGGATGCGGGTGCGGGCACCATGTCTGTGTCCTGGAGTATGTACTGCGCCCTGTGGTGCTGCTGGCTACCTGGGTCTGAAGTCCAGGTAGGTGACCTCCCCGCTGCCGCTGCCCACCGCCAGCCCCTCCAGCCGGGCAGCCAGGGCGGCGGCGAAGGAGTGGTGCGGACCGTCCTGGGGGGGGAGGGAGGGAAGAAGAGGAAGATAGGTTGCTGCAAATGGCAGTGCGAGTCTTGAGGGGTGCGGTGGAGGTCGAGGGAGGTAGACAAGGAAAGGAGGTAGGCAGGGGATGGGCAGTCAGCCCAGGGTGTTCGGAGCATTGTCAAGCCGTTGGGGAGGGAACAGAAGGATATTCAATGTGGACAGGAGAAAGCAGGAGAAAGCAGGAGAAAGGGACCGCCCCCCCCACCCACCCGCCCACCTGCAGCCAGATGACGGGCTCGAAGGCGGGTCGGTGTGCCGCCACCACCTGACGCAACCGCATGGCAGCACCGCCGCCACCGCTGCCGCCATTGGAGGACCTCCGCGCCCCGGTAACAGCCCCGGACACCCGGTCGCCGCCGGGGGTGCTACTGCTGCTGCCGCCTGTGTTGCTATTGCTGCTGCCGCCCTCTCCCTCGCATCCGTCGCCCTCACATCCGTCGAGACCATTGCACTTGTACACAATAATGCCGTCTGCAGTTGAGTGGAGTCAGTTTGGTCGGTTGGGTTGCCGTTAGGCATGTGACAACCCAGTGCTTCGCTCTGGTTGGCTGCCGTTAGTGGCGCACGCTGGGCGGTGCTGGATGCCGCACATGGGGCTTGCCATGGCACCTGCTGACCTAGTAAGGCCCCTACCAAGCACCAAAACCTCTTACCCCGCACTCCCCCAATGCAGCCTACCCTCCCCGCCTGACACCCCTCCCCGCCCCTCCCCTCCCCTCACCGTTCATAGCCAGCGTCACCAGCATGCCATGCACCAGCGCCAGCGAGGTGACGGGGCCGCTGTGATCGCCGCTCAGCACCGCCAGCGCGCTGCCGGCCACAGGGTCCCACACGCGCACCTCGCCCACGGAACCCGACACCAGCACCAGCCGCTGCGTGGGGGGCATCACCTGACGGCGGCGGTGGCGGAGGGGGGGGTGGGCGGCATGGCTGCTGGTGGGGTCAGAGTCGCTGCCGTACAGACCCGGCGGCAGCGTCATGTTGGGTAGTGAGGGCGGCGGAGCCGCCGCCGTGACGTCAAGGTCGGGCGGCAAGAGAAGCTGGTGGCGTTGCGAGTCGGCGCCGCGGCGCGGGAGGTAACCCAGGCGTACGGAGAGCACGCCGTGGGTGTGCCCCCGCAAGGTCGCCTGGCAGCGGGCTGACGTCAGATTCCACACACGTACGACGGCGTCGGCACCTCCGGTGGCGACTAGCCACACGGGCAGCGCGGCGGGGTTGGCCGCAGCAGCTGCAGCAGCGGCAGCAGATGTGGCGGCAGGCTTTGCACCGCCTCCCGCTGCGGCGGCGCCAACGCTGCTACGGCTACTGCTCGTTGCGCCAGCTACTGCAGTTGCGGCGGCTCCCGCCAGCTCCGAGCCAGCTCCGGGTGCGCAGATGGGGCCCGTGTTGAGCAGCCGAATCAGCTCCGACAGCATGTCCAGGTGCACCGCTGCAGGCGGGGCATCCTCAGGCCGCCCGCCTCCGCCGCCGCCAGCTCCGGCGGCAGCCCCATGCATCGCTCCCGCCGCCGCCGTTGAGGTCACTGTCGTGGACGCAGGTTCCGTCGCCGCCGGCGGCACCACCCCCGGCGGCGCCCGGATCGTGTCCATGCACAGAATTGCAGAGCTGTGACCGCACAGCGTCGCCATGGCATCCAGCGACTTAGCTCCCGCGGTCACCGTCGCCGCCGCCACCGTCGCTGTCACCGTCGCTGCCTTCGCCGCCACCTCCGCCGCCAGCTCTCCGTACGAGGGCAGCGGCCATATCTTGGTGCTTCCGTCGCGTCCCGAGGTGACCAGCACGCTGCTTCCCTCCAGGGCGCTCATGCCCCACACCACATCCCGGTGCCCGCTCATCACCCGCAGCAGCTGACGGGAGGGTAGGTGCCACAACCGCACCACACCGTCCACACAACCCGTGGCCACCCAGTCCTCCCAGCTTGGGTCGTACGGCAGGTGGTGGTTGCAAGGTGGAAGTTGTGCGGCAAAGGTGGAGGAGGATGAGAGCGCTCCTTGCTGTTGCTGCGAATGATGTTGCAGGGAATCGGCACTGCTGTTACTATTGTTATTGTTGCTACTAGTGGCATGTCCCGTTGGAGGGGGAGCAACCTCGGTTGTCCCGCTGTTTTGGGACTGTTGTTGGTGTGGTTGTTGTTGTCCGCAGGCCTCTGGTGTGGAGCGGAGGTGGTGTGCGAGGTAGTGGGTGGTGGGCGGCGGAGGCGGCGCGTAGCAGAAGCGCACGAGGGTGACCTCCAGCGGGTGCTCCAGGGTGACCCATGGGTCGCTGCCGCTGTCCTCGAGCTGGTAGCGCCAGGCAGCCACTCGACGGTCGGTTGAGGCTGCGAGCGACATGGGAAGGGAAGGAGGGGAAGGAAGCGACGGAAGAAGAGCCGGAGTTGTTTGAAGCACGTGCCATACCACAACAGACCGTGGCCCGAGATCCACATGCATGACAAAACCCACTCCTACACCCCTCACGCCTTGCCTCGCCTGTGCCATCTCCACGCCACCCTCCTCAAGCAGCCCCATGCCCCCGCTCCCACTCCCCTCCCCCCCTCAGTTGCTTCGTCAGTGTCTCATCATATATATTTTTTTTTACCCTCCACCCACCCACCTGTCACCACCTGCCGCCGCCCCGCCGCCATACACGTCACCCACCCGCTGTGCCCCAGGTACCGCCGCACGCACCGCGCCTGCTGCGGCCCGCCGCCAGGTCCCGGCCCCGCCGGCCCCAGCGCAAACACCCGCACGCTGCCGTCCCACGCCGCGCTCAGCAGCACCGGGCCCCACGGCTCCACGGATTGGAAGGCCAGGCACTCCACATTGCTGCTGTGCTCGCGTAGACAGCTCTCCGCGTAGCGGCAGGAGCGCCAGTTGGCCTCCGCGGCGGTCGTACGGGCGAACAGCCCCTTTAGGTCCACTGCGGGTGCTGCTGCGGGTGCAGCTGGTGTTGTCGCCTTTGCTGGTGCTGTCTGAGGAGGGCGGTGTTGGGTGCGCTGCTGCTGCTGCTGCTGCTGTGGGTGCTGCTGCCCTTGTTGTTGCTGCTGCTGCTGGTGTTGGTGTTGCAGGCGGTCCAGGAAGCCCGCACGCAGGCCGCCCAGGAAGTCCTCATGACTGCCCGCACCCCCGCCGCCCCCCACGGCGGCTCGTACGGCTCGTACGGCTCGGATGCCCCGTACCCCCGCCACCGCCACCGCACCGGGACCCTGCTGCTGCTGCCCCTCCTGCACCTCACTCGCACCTCCCTCGACAACACCGCCGCATGGTGCTGCTGGCCCCGCTGTTGCTACCGCTGCTGCTTCCGACGCACAGCTCCCTGGGCTAGGTTTGCACCTGTTCGCGGCCGACTGCTGCGGTGGGCCCCCGCGAGGAACCCAGGCGGCGGGTGGTACGACATACCCGGCAGCACACAAGTGCCGTACCCACAGCCAGGGCTCCCGAGCTGCTCGCCGCCAGGCTCGGCAGACGGCTGCTGCTGCCGCCAGGGTTTTGGGCGGCAGCGCCCGCAGGACGAGGAGGAGCAGCTCGGAAGGCAGGTCGGGGAGGCTGGCAGCGGAGGGGGCGGAGGCGACGGAGGAGGCCCAGGGCCATGAGGGGAGGGGCTGCTGCGGAGGTGTTTCCACTTCGACGGTGGTTAGGAAGGTGGTGGCGGCAGAGGGGGAGGCAGCCGAGGAGGAGGCAGTGCCTACAGCGGGCGACGGCTGGGGTGGCACCGGCGGCGGCGGCGATGCCGCTGCAGGCATGATGCGGTCCAAGATGCTCCCGCTGCCGCCTCCGCGGGTGTACGGCAGTCCGGCTGCCGCCGCTGCATGGGCCTCCGGCGGCGCTTGCATGGGCCTGAACTGCCGGCCCCTAGGTCCCTGAGCCGCGGGCGGTTGTGAGGATGAGGGCGGCCGGGGCGCCAGAGGCTGTGGGGGAGGGTGCGGAGGTGGTTGCGGGTAGGGGCGCGGGGCCTGCTGCGAGCTACCCACCGCCGCAGCATTGCTACTGCCGCCACCTCCTCCGCTGCCACCATTAGCGGGTAGCCCGGCCGCGGCCGCGGCTGCGGCTGCCGATGGCATGCCCGGTTGCCCCGGTTGTGGCTGTGACGGGGCCGCCGTGGCGGCAAGGTCCGTCAGGAGCCGCCCTGCACGCGGGTGCAGCCTGGGGGCGCCACCTCCGGGGCCCACTGCAGGAGGCTGGGGCTGGGGCAGGGATGGGGGCTGCGGTGTTGGGGGCTGCGGCGGCGGACCCGGGGATCCTGAACCGCCGGCAGCGTCCGGCTGTGGCTGGGCTAGGGTTGCATTGCCGCTGGTGTCGCTGTCATGCGCCTCGGCCGCACGAGCAGCAGCTGCTGCAGCGGCCGCTGCCGCAAGCTGAGGACAGCTCTTTTTGTGGTGGGGCCAATGGTCCCTTTGACCTGTGGCCCGCAAGGGTCAGGGGATAGGAATGTCTGGAGGTCATGCGTTAGGCGCTGGGCAAGGCTGGGCATGTATGGACCGAGGATGTTTGAACACATACACACGACGCCTTTCGTAATCGACACTTTATCAAATACTTACACTCTCGGCTGCAATAGCGCTCCGACTTGCACTTGCCGCATCGAAACAACGCTGGGTGGTCGCAAATGGCACAAGTCGCCATCCTAATAAGCCGAAAAGGGCAACTAAAAGTTTGGCTGCAAACCGTGGCATGTAGCTGTGTCGCCTTGGCGCATGCCTAGGCACCTAACGACTCGGCCAAACCGAGGCGCTTGCAGTGGCATGTTTCTTGCAAGTTTAACCTAATCTATTGTATATGTAGGAAAGTACAAAAATGATTGCGGTCCCGAATGAGCCCACATGGAACCAAGGGAGTTAGAAACCCTGTTGCCAATTGGCAAAAGCTTGTTTTAGGACTGCGGCTTGTGTCTGGTATAGAATTCCTTTTTAGTACAATTGTAACTGGATATGGCAATTATTGCAACGTCCAGACCGCTGCATAACGCAAGTTCATTCCAAGCACAAGACACCTTCTCTAAAGTCTTGCACCGCTTAATTTCTGCAAAATAGCGTAGATCTATTCTAATTCACCTGGTCAGCTCCTCTCCAGCGCTCCTTTTCCCTCGCCTGCTTTCCCGTTTCCGCGTTCGTACGGCGTTAGGGCCAGGGCCACCCAGGCCATGGCACCTAAAGCGGGAAACAAGCGATCTACGCACAGCACAGCACATGGCAGCGGCAGGTCCAAGGGCGCCGGGGTGCCCGACGGCCGCAAGTCCGGCAAGGGCGCTAGCGGCGGCGCCGGGGCGGAGGGAGGCGCCATGACCACAGCGGTCATCCAGAAGAAGATGGTGGGCGGAGTGTCACCGGGGGTGGAGCTGCAAGTACGGACGCTGCTGCAGGTGCGAGGTGGCGGAGGGGCAACCGGGGTGATGGGGGGGGCCACAGGGGGTGGGGCCGGGTTGAGGCTGGCTTGAGGGTGTTTGGAGACTGCTGACTTACCGGGTGTGGCTCAGGTGCCGGTCGGTGCCTGGTGCAGCCGGATGGGGCCTGGCGCGTGTGTGTATGTACCGTATGTACGGAGGAGGGGTTTCAGAGGAGCCATGCGGGGCCAGCTGCGGCTGAGGGTGTGCGAAGGGGTGTGCGCCTCCTTCTGGCACGTCGGCCAGTAAGCCTCCCCATCCGCCACCTCCTCTACGTCCGCCACCTGCTTTTTTTTTCCGATGTGGACTGTTACAGAGGAAGGACAGGAAGACCACCAAGAAAACCAGCGGAAAAAACACCCACTGGATACCAGGGAAGCACCCCTGGAAAACACCACCTGCAAGCCCACCTGACAGCCCCCATGACCGACCCCCCCCCCTGACCTGCTGCCGCTCTGACAGCCCCCATGCGGCCGCCATGTGCCCCCCCCCCTCCTCCTCCCCCTCCTCCTCCTCCTCCTCCGCAGAAGCTGATGGTGCAGGCTGCGCAGCCACCCACCCCGGAACCAAACCGGTGCGGCAGCGGCGCATTCAAGGGCGACGACAGCAGCCCCAGCGGCAGCGGCAGCGGGCCCCCTCCGCCGGTGGCGGCGGCTGCGGATGCCCGCACGCTGGCGGGTCTGAGTGCGCTGTGGGAGCAGCTGGCGGGTCTGGGGTTCGGAGCGGAGGCGGTCAAGCGGGTGGTGGCGGAGGGACTGCCCAGGGTGAGGGGGGAGGGGGGGGTGAGGGGCAGGGGGTGGTGCGCTGCGATGCAGGTGGGGGTGGGGCTGTGCTGTGGGGTGCTGGGTGCTGGGTGCTGGTCAGGGTGGGGGGAGGTTGCTGGGAGCGGTCTTGGCGGCGGGAGGTGGTACATTAGAGGTGGTATGATTGGTTGGGCTGGGGGGCAATGGGCGGGGGCGAGTGGGCAAGCGGCAAGCGGTTGCCGCATGTTGCTGGTCGCTGTCAGTTGCCGTACCGCCGGATAACCACCTCCATGTGCACCTAAACCCCACCGCACCCCACCCCTCACACCTTGGGATTCTTCGTTTCACCCTCACAGGGCCAGCCCGCCTCCCTGGACGCCGCCCTAGACTGGCTCTGCCTCTACCTGCCGCCGGCTGAGCTGCCGTACAGGTTCAAGTCCGCTGGCGGCGGCGGAGGAGGCGGCGGTGCACCCGTACGCATCCTGGCGGTGGCTGCGGCGGCACAGCAGCAGCCTCAGCAGCAGGAGCAGGAACAGGCGGTGGAGGGGGGTCTGGAGGCTGGGAGGGATGTGAAGAGCGCCTGGGATGATTCGGATGACTCGGAGGGTGGCGAGGCGGGGGAGGAGGGGGGAAGCGCAGGTGGGATTGAGGACAAGGGGGGAGCGGAGGGGGCCGGTGGAGGTGGAGGTGGAGGTGGTGGAGGGGGGATGAAGGAGTGGATTCTTCGCTACTTGCAGGAGGATCAGGCGAGCAGTGAGGAGGAGGAGGTGAGTGAGGAGGTGGAAGGAGGGCAGGGAGGGGCGCTGAATGAGGGGGGTCAAAGACCATACCAAACCATAGGAGACCATAGGGGGGGGGGAAAGGCTGGAGGTAGTGGTATAGGCGCTTGAATATGGCGACTCGTCGGGGGAGGCGGGTGGTCCTGCAGGCACCGCAGTTAGGGGCTTGGCTAGCAGCACCCAGCGTGATGCGACTGGGGACCTACCTGAGGCCCGTCGCACATTACCTCCCCTTCCCTTCCCCCGGCCCCTCGCCTACCCCACACAATAAGTCACCCCCTTCCCTCCCCTAGAACGCTGGCCGCCCCCGCGCGCCCTCCTCCTCCTGCTCCTCCGTCGCCGACTTCGAGTGGGAGGTGTGGGGCGACCCGCGAGAGGTGGCACGCAGGCGGGCGGAGAGGGCCCGGCAGCGGCTGGGGCCGGAGGAGCGGCGGAGGCAGCTGGCGGAGGAGTGGGGGAAGGCCAAGGAAGTGGCGGCGCGGGCCAAGACGGCGGGTGGGGGGGGGCGGGCGGGAGCTCCGGGGTTTTGGGGTTGGGGGATGCTTGGGGTTTCCTTGGACACCGATAAGATGGCGGACTGCAGGTTGGTTGGTTGGGGGGGGGGGCCGAGGTCGCTGAGACGACGGGCAAGGAGATCTGTGGAGGCTCCTCCTCCCCACCTGGCTTCCCACACTCGTAATTTGTTGGCCCTCCGTTTGCCCTCCGCTCCTGTTTCAAGCCCACGGTGGTGTTTTCGCCCGCCTGCTACTGCTACTGCTCCTCAACCCCATCACCCTCCCTCCCAGGTGACAAGGCGCGTCAGAAGGACGCGGGCCTCATGATCCGCGACCTGAAGCAGGAGATGGCGGCACTGGGGCTCAGCGAGCAGCAGCTGGAGCAGGGAGGGGGAGATGGGGGTGGGGGAGGAGGAGGTAAGGGTGCGGCCGTTGCTGCCGCCACAGCAGCGCCCGCAGCTGCGGCGGCAGCTGGTAAGGCAAAGCAGCTGCAGGAGAGGCAACAACAGGAGGGTAAGCCAAAGCAGCAGCGGGGAGCAGCGGCAGGGGGGTCAGCGGCGGCAGGGGGGTCTGCTGGTGCAGCCAAGGCGGGAGGGGCTGGGAAGGAACGAGGCAGCAAGGCCCTAGATGCCAGTGGGGGAGGGGGTGGCGGTGGTAAGAGCAAAGGCAAGGAGAAGGAGAAGAAGGAAAAGGAGGGCAAAGAGGAGAAGAAGAAGGAGAAGGGCCTCAAGAAGAAGGAGAAGGAGAAGCGCAAGGGCAAGGGCGCTGCCGAGGGTAAGGCGTGTGGGTGGGTGAGGGAGGCAGCCAGTGTCACGTGGGGGGTAATGCTGCGTGCGGGGTTGGGACTGTGGGGAGGGGCCGGGGAGGGAGCACTTAACTCCGTTGCGTTGCGTTTCAGAGCCTTACAGCATGGTTACTGCCGCTGCTGCTGTCGCCCCATCTTATCACGGTACTAGAGGTTTTCTACAACAACATCAGCCACGACAACTCAACACGTTTTGTTTCCCGCAGAACCGGCTCCGGAATCGGCTCCGGGACAGGAACCGGAACCGCCTGCCTCAACTGTGGTTACGAATCTGCGGCGGCAGCTACAGCGCGAGGAGGAGCCGGAGGAGGTGCCTGACAGCTGGGAGGATGCCGCGGGCGAGGAGGAGCAGGAGGACCAGGAGGGGGGGCTGGAGAAGGTGGCGGAGAAGGTGGGGGAGAGGGAGGAGGAGGAGGAGGACGAAGAGGCGGAGGTGGGCGGTGGCGGTGATAGTACGACGGCGGCGGTGGCGGAAGGAGAGGAGCAGCAGCAGCAGCAGGAGCAGGCGGGCGGAGGGGCGGCTGAGAGGCAGGGAGGCGAGGAGGCGGAGCCCGCGTTCGATTTGTTTGGGGAAGGAGAGGTGCGGGGGCAGCAGCGGAAGCTAGGGGATAGTGCAAGGAGGGTGGAAGGAGGGTTTGGGATAGAGCAAAGCCCATGAGGCTGCAACGACGGAGTGGGAGGGGAGGGGGAGGGCGGTCGGCGTGTATGCCGGACTAGGCGAGCCATCCCGGCCGAACACTGCTGCCATGGCAGCAGCTAACCCTTCCCTTCCCTTCCCTTCCCTGCTCCGCACTCACCACCCACCCGCCTCCCCCGCCACGCAGGAAGCAGCCGGCAAGGAAGCAGGCGGCACAGAGGCCGCCGCCGCCGCTGCAGCAGCAGCAGCAGCCTCCGCCCCAGCCGCCAAACCCGCCACTGCTGCGGGGGAGGAAGATGCGTTCGCGCTGCCCGGATTGTTTGACGACGACGGCAGCCCAGATGCCGCCGCGGGAGCCACCGTCACACCGGCCTCCTCGCTGCTTCGTGCGGCAGCAGCGGCGGACGCGGGGGGGCGTACGGCAGGGGCGGGTGCGGGCGGCAAGGGAGGCAAGCGGAGCGGCGGCAAGGCACCCGCGGTGCCGGCTCCGGTAGGGTTGGGGTTGGGTGGGTTGGGCTTGGGGTGGGTAGAGGAAAGAGGTGTGGCGGTGCCCCATGTATTGCTGCTCGGGATAATTGGGGTTCTAGGGAGCTGCTGCAGTTGTGCGGGTGGTTAGGGCGGGGAGGTGTCGGGAGGGGCGCGTGAGTTGCGGGGTTGTGCGGCATGCATGGTCCTCGCTTACCGAGGTAAGGGGCAGTGCTGGGGCCATCTGCCCGGTAACGCGCTCTGCCTCAACTTACAATTTACAGTGGTGTTCCCGCAGCGCCCTCCTCCCCGACCCCCCGCGCCCCACCACCCCCTCCACCAACCCACCACCCCGCCGCGCAGGAGCCGCCCAAGACCCCTCGCGCCCTGCTGGCGCAGCTGTGTCAGAAGCAGGCCTGGTCGCAGCCCCGGTACGAACGACTTGCCGTACAGGCAGCAGGCAGTACGGCAACAGCTGGCGAGGGAGCGGCAGGGGGCAGCGGTGGCGGCGGCAGCGGTTACCGTTACAATGTGGTTTTGGATCTGGGCCCCGCCAGGTGGGTTGGTTGTCGTACAAGTAGAGATGTCGTACCGGACAGCTACCAGTGTGCCGGATACAGAGGTTGCCGATGTGCGAACCTGTTATGACTATGAGGGATGGTAAAGGATGTAGCGACCTCTTCACGGTGCGTTCTAGGACTGTGCAATGTCAATTGCGTGTTGCAGCAAGCCGGCATTCATGCCTCCATCACCCGCATCCTTGGATAATCTTTTGCCGTACATCCATGGCCGGCAGAGGCCTGGCCAAGAAACGAAACCTGTACGGCATACGAGTGTACGGTGTCCCAGCCCGAGATCATCCGCCGCCGCCGTCTTCCGCTGGCCCCGACGGCAGCGGTGACGGCGGCGGCGGCGGTGTCAGCCCCGCGCTGGCGCCTTGCTGGCCCGACGCCGCCACTGCTCAGGACGCCGCCGCCGCTCGCGCGCTGTACGAGGTAACGCCCGCACTGCAGCTGCAGCAGTCGCTGTTCCAGTCGCTGGCGCCGCAGTGGCGGCAGCTCTGGCTGCACTGGGAGGCCGACGACGGGGCGGCGGCGGTGGCAGCAGCAGCCGGCGCCGCCGGTGCAGCGGCCGCGGCCGCTGGCACCGCCGCGGCGGCCGCGAAGCAAGCTGAGGAGGAGAAGCTCGCGATCCTGAAGGAGCTGCTGTCGCGCCCGCCGCCGTCAGCGCCGCCGTCACTGCTCCTGGCGGCGGCCGTGGCGGCGGCGGCGCCGCCGCCACCACCAACGCCGCCGCCAGCGGCGGAGGCTCTTGTACCCGCCTCCGACGTCGCGTCTGAAAGCGCTGAGGCGGCGTCAGCTGCTGACGTCGGCGGAGGCGGCGGTACGGATGGCGAGGAGGAGGATGCGGCTTCTGAGGGCGGCGGTGAGGGATCTAGTGTTGCTGAGCCGCTAGCGCAGCATGAGGAGGATGCTGTGGAGCAGGAGGAGTGGGAGGACATGGTGGCGCTGGAGGGGGGTGAGGGGCAGCAGGAGGGGGAGGCAGGGCTGGAGGAGGGGGGGGGCCTGGAGGAGGCGGAGGAGGAGCCGCAACTGCAGCCTGGGGGCGAGGAGGCTGGAGTGGTGGGAGAAGGAGGAGGAGGAGGCAAGCAGGAGGGGGAGCAGCAGGAGGGGGAGCAGCAAGGGGCACGGCAGGAGGAGGTGCCAGGACTGCAGGCGGCTGTGGGTGCTGCGGGGCCGGAGGAGGTGAAGGTGCAGGTGGGTGGAGGCGGGCGGGTGGGAAGGGGCCCTCCGAGGAGGCTGGAGAGGTGGTGTTTACCTGGGCTTGGGCGGGAACTGCAGTCGGGGCCAACAGAAGGGGTACGGGTGGGGTGCAGCAGCTGGGGACCGGGATGACTGGGGGGCGGCAAGCTGGCAACCGACAAGGCCCACAGCCCCGGGCATAGCACCATTCGCCATTCGATAGGCGTCCAGAGCTCCGCCTCCCTCCCTCCCTCCCCTAACCGGCCAGAGCGTTTCTGGATCCCTCAACTGCTCTTGTCTCCCACCACTCGCCCCTCCACAGTCAGTCCTACTTCGCCCCCATGCAGGCTGCCGAGGTCTCCCCATCTGAGACCACCATGCCGCCCGCCTCCGCATCCTCAGCAACACCAGCGGCACCAGTTAGAGAAGCCCCAGGCAAACCCACCCCTGCATCTCCCTCTCCTCCCACCTCCTCCTCCGCCTCCTCCTCTGCTGCCGTGAGCTCTGCGATGCTGGCTGCGTTGCAGCGGTGGCGGCGCAGTCCCGCGGGTCGGTCCATGGCGGCCGCTCGCGCCGCGCTGCCCATTGCCGCCATCCGCGGGGAGTTGCTGGCGGCGCTGGAGGCGGGGGACGTGGTGGTCGTGAGCGGTGAGGAGGGGAGGGGGGGCAAGGGGGCATTTACACGTGTTTGTATTGCGTGTGTTTCGCCAACGAACCGCAAACCTGACACGGGCACTGTCTCTGGCTGTGGATGTATGCATTTCAAAGGATTGAGCTGCGTAGCTATACGGACCTTGCTGTAACCATGTGTTTGCTAAACGGCCTGACGTGTGTGTCCTCCTGTCTCCCATGTCTCCCCCTTCCCTCCTTCCCTCGCAGGTGACACGGGTTGCGGCAAGACCACGCAGGTGAGGGAGGGGGGGGGTTGGGGGGCTCGAGGGCCCTGCTGCAGGTCCTTCTTGGGGTAAAGAGAGTGGCAGGACGCTCAACGTTTGACGTCACGGGAGGGTAGCGTTGCATGCATGTGGCAGGTTGGGATTGGGGAAGCTCAGTGGGTCCGGTCCTCACACCTCGGTCCAACAACCGTGGCACCGAATCCAGTTGCGAAAGGCGCTGAGGGGCCAGGGGATCTGCCCTACAGCCCCCACACACCGCTCCCGGCGTCGAGTCGGTCAGCGGGCTAGGTACTCGGTAGTATTTTAGTTTTTCCGACACCATCAGCATCACCGACATGCGTCGTCAACACACCGCTCTTCTTACATCCAGCACCAGCTATTTAAGCAGTTTTGCATAATGGTTCAGGTCTGGTTACCTCTGTTTTACCTCTGTTTTGCTTGTACTTGCGGTTCACATGCGGACCTATCCCAAATGCTTGCTCTTGTTTCCGCTCAACTACGCACCGCTCCCACACTGCATGCGAGCGGCGCTCCCAAAGGCGTCGTCTCATACTGAGTGGCTCCGCGCGGGCCATCCACGCCCCACCACCGGGTGTTGCGTCTGTCACCCCATCACATCCCGCACACGGGTGCTGCATGCGCCCCAGTAAGCCCCCCCATCGCCGCCATCACCACGCAAAGATACAGACGCAGACACACACGCGAGCGCTCCTGTTATGACATCATCTTCCGACATTATCTTCCGACAAGCCCAGTACGTTACATAGGCTCGCGACCAGTTCCCTTAACACCCGGATGCGCCTGGCTGCCTGGCTGCCTGGCTGCCTGGCTGCCTGGCTGCCTGGCTGCCTGGCTGCCTGGCTGCCTGGCTGCCTGGCTGCCTGGCTGCCTGGCTGCCGGCTTGAGCGCCCTGAGTGCCCCCACCCCCCCTGCCCCGCTTCAACCCGGGTAGCCAACCCCAAGCCAACCACAGAAGCATAGTCGTTTGCACAAAGCCGTGTCGTCCAAAAGTCCGATGCGATAACGATCGGGAGACATCCCAAGGTGGTTGACGTAGGAAAGGCACAAAGGAGGTACGACAGTACGGAACCAGCTGCTCCTAGAGCTCGACGGCTCTCCCAAAAACAGCCTTTGCCACCGCCTCTACAAGAGCCACAGCCATGAGCCCTCTCTCAGCTGCCCCCGAGATCTTCCAGTCGCAACTGGGACGGAATGCGTGTGTTGTCAACTGCCAGCAGTTGAAGAGCGCTCCCCTCACTCCAGCCACATGCGGGAGGGGTGCGACTGGGCGCACAGCTGGGCGGCATGGGTCGTACAGCCCTCAGCAGCGCCCGAAAGGCACTCCTAGCCGGGGGGGAGAGGAGGCCAGGGGAGGGGGAGGGGGGGCCAACAGGGTGGGTGGAGTTCAGGGCGGGTGTGCGGCGGGGAGCTGCTTGTGTCCTGCCGGCTGGTTCAAGGCTGTATGGGCAGACTGGGCGCGGTCATACCTACCTCGACTGGGCGACCTACCTCGACAACGCGTGCTTCGCATGCCTCCATGTTCCTGGGGTCTTTAGCGCCTGGTGGTGTGTAGTGCACGGGGGCGAAGAAGGGGTTAACAAAGGGGGATGAGTGCTGTGTTTCAAAGCTCGAGATGAAAAGTCCACCGGCTCGTCACAGCTGTTGTTGGCAGTACCTGGCAGGAAGGGAAGCCAGCGACGCCAAGCCGGTCCTCGACACGTGTCCATGGCCTTCATGACGCAGGAGCTCCTGCAGAGAGAGAGGGGAGAGGATGTCGGGCTTGGAGTATTTATTGCGGAGCAAGGCGGGAGTATGTTTGCGCGTTAGCGAGAGTGCAACATACCGTCCAAACGCACCTTGCACCATTCAAGCAATTCTTCACGACTTCTACTTTACAAGCTTCTAAACTCGCTTTACGTTCAGCTTCCGAACGAAAGACCTGCAAGGGTGTTATAAACAACTGGTTTGCGAGGCGTGCTTTCGCCTATTTTCGCTAAAAATGCAAAGTTATCTGCGCACCCTGCATCTTCGGCCTTCTATGACAACTGTTTCGCGTATGGCCGGTAAAGTCGGCTCGTGGAAAGTCACTCCAAGTTCGCGCAGCTGCTGATCGCTAAGTTGCGGACCATCCATTGTCAACACTTGGCAGTAAAATTGCATAACAAAGTATAAAGTTGCAAATCAGGACATTTTGGAGTGCAAGCCTGAGCAACACCCGTGACCACTGTACGGCATCCAAACTTCGTCCAATCCAAACCTCCTCCATCTACCTCGCTTCTTCCTCCGCCTCCTCTTCGGTGCCTCTTTCCCAACGCCTTCTATTATAAGAACAGCTCCTCTTTTTTCCTCCAACCCACGTCCTCCCTCCTTTCCCTTCCTCCCTTCCCCTCCCCCCCAGGTCCCCCAGTACCTGCTGGAGGCCGCCACCGAGGCAGGTCGCGGCGGCAGCACCCACATCCTGGTCACGCAGCCGCGCCGCATCGCCGCCATCAGCGTGGCGGAGCGGGTGGCGGAGGAGCGAGGCGAGCCGCCCCCGGGCAGCCCCGGCCCCGCCAGCAGCACCGGGTACCATGTGCGGTTGGGGGCGGCGGTGACACGACACACGCGGCTGACCTTCTGCACCACCGGTGGGGGGGGGGAAAGAGGGGGGAAGGGGGGGGGGAGGGGGGGAGGAGGAGCGGGGAAACGAGTGCATGTAATGCTTACGAGTCCCGCAGCAAGGTTCCGGTATGGGCATATGGCCTTACACCAGGGAGACTGCGGCAAGCCATGTACGCATACGCGTACTACCGTACACGGTTTGTACGCATTGTATCGTACACCAGCTTCCAATTTACGTATACCGGTATACGCGACATGCCTACCAGCCAACGAGAACCCATACCTCCCCTCCCCTTCCCCTCCCCCCCCCAGGCATCCTGCTGCGCCGGCTGGTGTCCGACCCCTCCCTCCGCGGCATCACCCACGTGGTTGTGGACGAGGTGCACGAGCGCTCGCTGCAGTCCGACTTCCTGTGCGCACTGCTCAGGGACCTGCTGGTGGCACGCAGGGCCGCGGCGGCGGCGGCGGCGGGGGCAGGGGGTGGAGGTAGCGGCAGCAAGGGCGACATGATGCAGCAGCAGCAGCAGGCGGTGACCCCCCTGAAGGTGATTCTCATGAGTGCGACTCTGGACGCGGGGTTGTTCGCGCGGTACTTTGCAGGGGAGGCGGGTGCGGCGCCGCCGCCGGTGCTGACGGCGGCGGGCCGCACCTTCCCCGTCAGTCGGTTCTTCTTGGAGGACGTGTACGACGTGACGGGGTATCGGCTGGCGGAGGACGCGGCGGCGGCGCGGCGGCGGCGGGGGCCGGGGCTGGGCGCGTTGCTGGCTCAGCAGCACGGGGGCGGCAGCCGGGCGCAGCGGGACCTGGTGGCGAGGGGGTTCGGGGATGATGAGGCGCTGGCGGCGCCGCTGAATCCGGATTACGATCCGGAGCTGTACGGCGATCAGCCGTTGCATGTTCGTCGGAATCTTGCGAGGTTGGACGAGCACCGCATCGACTACGACCTGTTGGAGGCGCTGATCTCGCACCTGGACGCCAGCTTGGAGCCGGGGGCGGTGCTGGTGTTCCTGCCGGGTGGGGTGGGGAGGGGGGGGGGAGGGGGAGAGGGGGGAAGGGTGTGAGGCAGGACGTTAGGGCGGGCGGGGGTAATGAAGGGTATGACGACGATATCGTAAGTGTGTTGCAGTTGGTTGCCATCAGGGTACTACTACGGTTTCCTACTACGGTCATACACATCACTGACCTTAACATTCCAACACCTCTCCCCTCCCCCCTTCCTTCCCTTCCCCCCCACTTCCCCCCAGGTATCGGTGAGATCAACCACCTGTACGACCGCCTCACCGCCCAACGCGCCTTCTCCTCCCGCGCCCCCACCACCTCCACCTCCTCCGCCCCCCACCCCCCCACCCACCAGCGCTGCCTGGTGCTGCCCCTGCACAGTGCGGTGCCCCCAGCGGGCCAGAGAGCCGCCCTGCGCCCGCCCCCCGCCGGGCTGCGCAAGGTGGTGCTGGCGACCAACATCGCTGAGACGTCGCTGACGATTGAGGACGTTGTGGCGGTGGTGGATACGGGGAGGCACAAGGAGAGGAGGTGGGGAGGGAGGGAGGGGGGTTTGAGGGGGGTGTGAGGGATGAGGGATGAGGGGTGCGCGGATGGGCGGGGGCTTCACCCCCAGGGAGGTCTTCCCTGCCGGTTGACACGAACTGTACGGCATCGCGTGTTGCGGTATCGTTCTCCCGGCTCCCCGCTCCCCCCCTCAACCCCTCAACCCCCGCTCCCCCACCCTGCTCCCCCCCCCTCCCCCGCCGCTCCCCTCCTATCCTCGTTGCTTTTGCCCTAACCTGTGGTTTCCTATGGTTCGGCATGGCCTTTGACCCCCCCGCTCTCCCCCAGGTTCAACCCCTCCCGCTGCATGTCCCTACTGGTGGAGGACTGGGTGAGCGCCGCATCCGCACAGCAGCGGGCGGGGCGGGCGGGGCGCGTGCGGCCGGGTGTGTGTTTCGCCACCTACACGCGGCACCGCTTCGAGGGCGGGCTGCGGCGGTTCGCGGCGCCGGAGATCACCCGCGTGCCGCTGGAGGAGCTGGTGCTGCAGGTGGGGTGGGGGACGGCAGGGGGGGGAGGGGGGGAGGAGCTGGTGGGGTGGTTAACGAACACCCTAGGACCCAACTCTAGGAAACCACAGGTTAGGGCAAAGCAATGGGGAGGAGTGGGCCGAAGGGGAGGGTGGAGGCGGGTGTTTAAAAGGTAAGAAAGGATGCATGCGGGTTCGGGCGTATGGAATGAGGGGTAGGTGCGGATGGTCTAGAACAGCAGGGGTTGGGTGTCGGGGGCAGAGGTCCCTTCGCGTCGCCTTGCTGACCCCCACTGTAACTCCATTCCGCCACCTTCACCTCCCTCCCTCCCCCCTTTCCCTCCCTCCCCTCCCCCTTCCCCCCCCCCCCAGATCCTGCTGATGGGTCTGGGTCCGGTGTCCGAGTTCCTGTCTCGGGTGTTGGAGCCGCCGCAGCCCCGAGCGGTGGCAGCGGCGCTGGAGGTGCTGCGGCAGGTGGGGGCGCTGGAGGTGCAACAGGGGGGAGCAGGAGGAGGAGGAGGAGGGGGAGGAGGGCAGGCGGCGCAAGGAGGTCAGGCGGCGGCCGCTGCTGCTACCCCAGACGCCGCCGCAGCGGCTCCTGCCCCGTCAGCGCCCCCCCTGCCCTGGACCCGCGGCCTAACCAACCCCAGCAGCCCCACCACCACGTGTCGTGAGGTGCTGAGTGCGCTGGGTCGGCAGTTGGCTCTGCTGCCTGTGTCTCCCCGGCTGGGCAAGCTGCTGGTGGTGGGAGCGCTGCTGGGCTGCCTGGGGCCGGCGGCGACCATTGCGGCGGCCATGAGCCACAAGTGAGGGGGGGGGAGGGGGGAGGGAAGGGTTGGAGGAGGGGGGGAAAGGGTGGCTAGGGAGAGAACGTACGGGCATGGGGGCGGGGGTAGAGGGAGTGGGCCATAGGAAGGGGGCGAGCAGGGGGGCTGGGGATGCAGGGCATGGGTGAGGGCGGGGAGGGAGTCAGGAGGAGGGGAGCATGCGGTGGTGCGTTGGGTTTGGTGGTGGCCTGGCTGGGGGGTGCTGCGTGGGCTGCGGGGGTTGCTGTGTGGTGATGTGTTTTCGTGTTACCCCCGACTCCCCCCCTAATCCTTTCTTTCACACCCCCCTTCTCCCCTGCCTGCCCTGCCCTCCACGCCCCCCCCCCCCACCAGGTCCCCCTTCCTGGCCCCCACCGAGGAGCGAGCCGAGGCGGAGCGGGCTCGTCGCGCGCTGGCGACCCACGGGTCACCCGGGCTGGCGGGCGGGCAGCAGAGCGACCACCTGCTGCTGGTTGCGGCGTACGACATGTGGAGGGTGAGCGGGAGGGGCTGGGGGGGGGGCTGGGAGGGGGGAAGAAGAATACCCAATGTATTGAATGGTGGTGGGGGGCGTAGGGGGGTTCTGGGGGGCGGGGAAGGGGGCAAGAGGAAGTGTGGAAAGGGTGGCGAGGGAGACATGGAGACGTGTGGAGGGAGTTGCCACTGAGGGAGGAAAGGAGGCATGGAAGGGCGAGGTCAACACTGGGCCCCTACCCTTGGCCCTACCTCCATCACCCCCGCCCTCTCGCCCCTCTTCCCTCTCGCCCCTTCCCCTCCCAGCTTGCTATTAACTCGCTCCCCCATCCACCGTAGCTGCTCGTCTTGTTTGTTCACCATTCCCATTCAACACATTGGGTGTTCATCTTTCCCTTCCCCCTGACATTGGGTATTCTTCTCCCCCCCCCCCCCGCTCCCAGCTTGCCTGCAAGGCGGGACCCAAGGCTGCCGCCGCCGCCGCCCGGCGCCACTTCCTGCACCTGCCCACCCTGGAGCAGCTGGCGGAGATGCGCTGCCAGCTGGCGGCAATGCTGGCGGAGGCGAGGCTGGTGCAGCCGGGGGGAGGGGGAGGGGGAGGGGGAGATGGGGGGTGGGGAGGAGAGGGGGGAGGAGGGGGAGGGGGTGGGGGAGGTAAGGCGGCGCTGGCGGCTGCGGCTGGGTGGCTGGATGACCCTGCGGCGCCCTGGAACAAGTTCGCGAGAGATCCGCTGGTGGTGGGTGGGGGGGTTGGGGTGGAGGGGGGAAGATGGGGGGGGAGGTGGAGAAGGTGTGATGCAGGGCGCGCGTGGAGGGATGCGTTTGTGTGCGGGTGTCTGACCCGTGGGTCAGCAGTTGTGTACAGATCTCTTAGTTGTCAGGAGACGGAGGAAAGGGGCGACCGGGCTGTTGTCCTCATTGCTTATGCCACGTGCTACCCCACTCCGCGAATCCACACGTCGGGGACAACCCTTACATTTCCAACCCCTGGACAACCCCCATCCCCATACCTCCCTTCCCCTTACCGCTTCATCCCCCCCTCCCCCCCTCTCCCCCCTTTCCCCCCAGGTCAAGGCCGCCCTGTGCGCCGCTCTGAGCCCCGCAGTGGCGGTGATGGCGGAGGACTCGCACCCCACCTGCCCGCCCCGCTGGCTGGACGCGTCACCCGGGGCAGGAGGGGGAGGAGGGGGCGGGGGCGGGGGAGGTGAGGAGGTGTGTGTGCACCCCAGCAGTGTGGTGGCGCAGCTCACCTCGCCGCAGCTGGCGCACCCCTTCCTGGTGTACCTGGAGAAGGTGGGGAGCGGGAAAGGGGGGGAGGATGGTTGGGTGAGGGAGGAGGAGAGGAGAGGAGAGGAAGGGAGTGTGCCCTTTCGCGCCTGCTGCTTGCCGCCGTCACCGCCTGCCCTGTTTGCTGCCACACGACCCCTGCTCCCACAAAACCACCATCGCTCACCCATGACACCAGTACTCCTCCTTCTCCTCCTTCTCCTCCTTCTCCTCCTTCTCCTCCTTCTCCTCCTTCTCCTCCTTCTCCTCCTTCTCCTCCTTCTCCTCCTTCTCCTCCTTCTCCTCCTTCTCCTCCTTCTCCTCCTTCTCCTCCTTCTCCTCCTTCTCCTCCTTCTCCTCCTTCTCCTCCTTCTCCTCCTTCTCCTCCTTCTCCTCCTTCTCCTCCTTCTCCTCCTTCTCTTCCTTCTCCTCCTTCTCCTCCTTCTCCTCCTTCTCCTCCTTCTCCTCCTTCTCCTCCTTCTCCTCCTTCTCCTCCTTCTCCTCCTTCTCCTCCTTCTCCTCCTTCTCCTCCTTCTCCTCCTTCTCCTCCTTCTCCTCCTTCTCCTCCTTCTCCTCCTTCTCCTCCTTCTCCTCCTTCTCCTCCTTCTCCTCCTTCTCCTCCTTCTCCTCCTTCTCCTCCTTCTCCTCCTTCTCCTCCTTCTCCTCCTTCTCCTCCTTCTCCTCCTTCTCCTCCTTCTCCTCCTTCTCCTCCTTCTCCTCCGTCTCCTACCACTATGATTGCAAACTGGGTCTTCCGTTGCTATCCGCTCTGACCACCCCCGTTCCCCACTGCCCACCGGCTCTAACCCCCCCTCCATCCCCCACCACCCCACCCACCAGGTGAAGACTGCGCGGTTGTACCTGCGCGACGTGACGGCCGTGTCACCGCTCACGCTGCTGCTGTTCGGGGGGCCGCTCACACTCTTTCATGCGGAGGGGGCGGTGCTGGTGGGGTCGGGAGGGGGGGGAGGAGGGGGGGTTAGGGTGGCGTGTCGGGCGCAGACGGCCGTGCTTGTGAAGCAGCTGCGGGGGGCGCTGAATCGCCTGCTGGAGAGGCGGTTCGGGGGAGGAGGAGGAGGAGGAGGAGGAGGCGGAGGGGTGGCGGCGGAGGTGGTGGTGGCGACCATACGTCAGATGCTGGCGGAGGAGGAGGAGCAGCGGCTGCTGGCGACTCGGCTGGCGTGAGGGAGGGAGGAAGCAGGGAGGGCGGGAGGGAGGAGGAGGAGGAGGCCCTGTTGAACACGGTTGCTAGGAGAAAGGTGTCTACCTGGGCTGGGGAGGGTAGAGACACGGGGGGCACGGAGGTACACCCCGCTCAGCGAGGCTGCCGGATTAGTGCTGCTTGCGAGAGGGGGGCGGGCGAGGCACTAGAGGTGGGCATGTATGGGCGAGCAATACCGGTGTGCAGGGAGAATTGCAGGGTGGAGGATGCGAGCAAGTGGGTGGGGGGCAGGAGCGGGCGCGACGCAGTGTCTTTCTGTCGGATCGGGAGATGTAGTGCTGTGGGTGTGCGGTTACAGCATGCGTGCATGCATGCAGGTAGATCGGTAGGTGGTAGTTATATTAGTGCTTTGACGAGAGGAGGAACGTGGTGAGGTACCCTTATCTGTCGCATGAAAAGCGTTAAGGAGGAGCGGGTGGTGGGGCTTGCGCGTTGCTCTTGCAATGTTCTTCGGTGTATGATGGGAGCATGCGTGCGTGCGTGTGTGCTCCCCAACCGCCTACCCGCAGCATGTCTGCCTGCCTGCCTGCTTGCCTGCGGCGGGGTGAGGCAGGGGAGCTAGGAACACGCATATACCGGCATGTGGAGCGAGCAGGCTGAGCCAAGCCTTCCAAAAGGCGTTTGCTGACAGGCGTCTATGAATTCTGTAGTATCCGGTATCTAGGCGGAAGCGGCGCTTCCTCTCGGCGGGGCAAATGTATGTTCCGGCGCTGGATCCTGTTCCTTTCTTGGCACCACCTTCACCAAGCGTGCATGCGTGCACAGTGACAAGGAAAATGGCTGGCGAGGACGGCTTTGGAGGTTACTTAGGATGGCCCTACGTTTACTTCAGAGAGCCGCACGCTTAATTCGGATTGCCATACACGAGTGCTGCCGCCCAGCGCTTCCGACGGTTGCCGCCCCCTCCGCGGCCTGAGTGCCAGCTAGCGTCCCTACCTTGTGGGTGGAGCGAGGGCGCGGAGCTCAGGACACACGCTCGCATTGCATGTTCCCTACATGCATACGAGCACTACCGAGTACATGGAACAAGGATCCAGCCCCGCCATTAGTCAGACTCCCGTACACAAAACACACCGCGTTATAGCACTGGTGTTGCAATTACACACAACCGGCCGTCGGCCGCCACCACTGCTACCACTACTACTACCCACTGCCGTACACCGCACCCGACTGCCGTACACCCCACTGGTGTAGGGCGATGGCGCCAAGGTGGCAGGTAAACCAACCGCTAAACAACATGCAGAGCTTGACATACTGGTATGTACAGGGGTCGGCCAAGGAGCTCAGCTTACCTGCGACCCCTGGGTACACCGGCCTGGGTACCGGGAGTACCGGGGCCCTGGGTGCCCCGGGGCAGTAATGTGGCCCCGATGTGCGTAGTACGCGCCTTCCCGCACGCGTCCCTTCGCACCGCTACTCGTGCAGAACTTGACTTACAGCTACTCCCTGTATGCTCGACCCATCTTGGAAGAAACGCTTATAAGCACTAGCCTCTAGCCTCGATTTCATTCGCAGCCTCAGTCGCTCAAGCGAGCTGACACCTTTGCGCAGCTTCCTTGTCGTACCAGGGGCACCTGAAAAAACGGTACCCAAAGTAACGCCATTGAGCAAATACAGCCGCTCTGCAGTTTCAGTAGTAAAAATGCAGACAGGGCAAAGGTGGATCCTGGCTAAAGTCGCAAGAAGGCTAATTGTACTGCATTGCAGCTAGCAAACAGCAGCTCCTCCCATGACAACAGGTAGCAACTGACAAACGCTGCAACAGGAACATGAGGCATAGCTACGGCGGCTGCGGGAGACCTAAGCTTTAGCATCGACGCCATCGACATGCGCTCAACAAGCGCACTCCCTTTTCCAACCAAATCCAGGCTACAAGAAGCAGCGAAACAATATCAAGTCGCAACGGTACCTCAATTGTATAAGACCGGTTCTTGAGCACGGACGCCATGCCAACAAAAAAGGTGCAATTAAGCGACAAGAGGTCAATTACAGTGAGGGAAACGTATGCATTAGAGATGTTTGCAAGGTAGCACCTTGTACGCGTACATGTAAGGGGGGATGGGGGTATGGGGGAAGGGGCACCAGCCCCTTCCCCCACCAAGATGCATAAGGTGCCAAGGGAGGCAAGAGCTCCACAGACGGCTGCGACACTCCACGCTAGTTCACACTGCATTCCATCCCAGCGAAATACTATTTATCGTACACACTTGTCAGGACGATCCCACCAACTCAGTGCCACAACAGACTTGGCAAATCCTAACTTGCGACTTTGTATCCTGTTATCTTCTTCCGCATCACTGGACGCTGCATGTCGGGGGCAAGTTCCTCCAAAACGACCCGTGGGTCACTCCGTCCCCAGCTCTCCTGACCGTATAGCAGCAAATCCGAACCCCTTCCGGCGATATTTGTAAAAGTGTAAAGCTGCGCCCCTGCGTACGGAAACTAAAGCGCTTCGCTCCCGTCATGCAACTTTGCTCGTACCATCCAATCGCCACAGGAGAAACACGCTACCATGGCCCCATCCACACCCATCCAAACCATCCTTACCCGGCCAAAAGCGCACGGTTCCCCAATTGCTTTTCCGTATCTTCATGCGTGCCGGCCCTGTCACGGTTTCTGTCCTACCCTGCCACATGGGCTCTCAGGGGCCGTCGATAACACCCGAAAACCATAAACGGGCTAGCCTTAATGACAGCTCCATCCCGCTAGCCATGGCCCCTCACGTGTCCCCTGCCGCCCCCGCCCGCCGCCTGCCCCCGCTGCCGCACTGCTCCCGGTGCCCCGCCCGCCAGTGTGCCATCTGGCACTCCCGGCCGCAGTACCACACCCCTCCGCACCGCCCGCACGCCTGCAGCGGCAGCTCCGCCTCACTCACCCCCGCCAGGTTGACGCAGCCGGGGTGGCCGCAGCGGCGAGGCAGCAGCTGCTCGCGAGCCTCCGCCGGCAGGGCATCCATCAGCTCGCGGACCCGGGCAGCAAACGCGGCGCCCTGGCCACTCCCGTGCAGCAGCAGCAGCAGCTTGCCCAGCGTGGCTGCCAGTGAGGCTGTGTGGCGCGACTCGGCGTACGGCACCACCAGGGACGTGAGGAGCACCTTGAAGTGGCCACCAGGCCTCATCACCACCTCCGCCTCCGGTCCCCCCGTGTCCTCCCCGCCCCGCCGCAGCAGCCACTCCAGGCAGAGCGCCAGCGAGCCAGCCAGGTCCCGCAGCAATAGGGGGGAGGGCGGCGGCGGGGAGCCTGCATGCAAGGGAAGGTACGCGAGGGGCGTGCACGTCGGCAGCAAGGCCCATGCAAAGCACTCCAAACAAGAGGACTGCGCTATTTCCCCCTGAACAATTGCTTCTGGAACAGCTGCTTCTTACGCTTACCGTGCACACGGGGCCAGGGAAACGCGAGAATAACAGAGATTCGCCCTCTTTCGCATTGGGCCCCTCAATCCACACCCCTTCATGGTCCGCATGCCTGGCCCTGAGGAGTCAGCAGCCAGCACCAAGCCCCGTCTTCCCATCATCATCTGCCACTTACCATGCACAGCCAGCCCTAGCTCGGCAAGCTTCCAGCGATATACATTAAGCAAGATCTCCGCGGCGCTCCCCTGCACTCCCCTGATGCAGTGCCGCACTACCGCAGCACCCAGACCCCACCACTCCGCCTCCTCCGCCCACCATCCGGCACCACCGACCCGCCGGGTCTGCTGGTCTCCGGCAATCCTAAGCGACATCACCGCCAGCTCCGGGGCATCCTCACGTCGCACCACCGCCCGCAGTGGCTCAGGTGCGGCGGCGGTCTGCTGTGTCGCAGAGGAAGGGCTGCCGCCACCGCCGCTGGAGCTGCCGCCACGTGTTGGGGTTGCCGATACCTCGAGCCGCCCAGCCCAGAACTGCCCAGATGCCACCGCCAGGCGACCCATGCGCATCGCCAGCGCTAGAGATGCTCGCCTGCCCGGCGGCGGGTCTCCTGAACCCGGGCTGAGAACAGACACAGCCACCAGCAGCGGGCCAGCCTTGACCATCCGGACCTGGCTGTACCTGCCAATGCCGACACCGCCAGTGCTCCTGCCGCTGGCGCTGCTGCCGCCGCCCCTCCCGCCACCATCACCGCCATTGCCACCAGAGCGGGGGACGTCGCTCCATTCCGTCTCAACCTCCACGGGCACCCGCCGCAGCACCTCCAGCGGCAGCTCATACGTCGGGCCGCCGTCCGCCGCGTGCAGGCAGGCGACTCCGTACACGAGCACTGCATGCCGTACACAGCGCCCGGAAAGTGCTGTACGCAGCTGGGCTAGCGGTCCCTCGCCGGTGCCTTCCGACGAGGTTGCCAGCCTCTTAAGGACCTGGTGCGTGGACAGGAACAGCTTCTTGGCGTCACTGTCACGCCTGTCCAGGCCGTTGCTGCCCGCCACATCAGCAGTCGTTAGCAGCAGCAGCAGCACCCGAGCCATGTGCTCCATTACCGCACTGCTCTGCAGGCTGGACGCGAACTCCGACATGAAGGCGAGGTGGGCGGCCGGGAGGGGCTGCTGCGGCTGCGGCTGACCCGTGGGTCCTTGGAGCAGCCGGAGCGCGAGTTTGGAAAGGCATTCCGCGAGAGACATGGCTTGTGTTATGAGCACATGTCCGGCAAAGCGAATGCTAGCCATGGCTTCAACGGACGGTAGTTGTTGCTGGCCCTGCTCGCGTGGGCGGCGCTGCTGCTGCCGCTGCTGCTGCTCCTGCTGCCGCCCCCTCT